GAGGTTTACATTGTAGTTATCATTATTTGTGGATAATTCAAAAAGCAACATAGAAAATATATATGCTACCATGACGAAAGAATACAGAGTGTACATAACTCGCAATTATCCAAAAGAGATTTCAAATCACAATAACATATGTGATATAAAGAGAGGTGGTAATGATTTAATCTCTACACTGTGCCCTTGTTCTTGAGCCCTTGTGCTATTCAGCAAACAGCCCCAAACCGAAACTCCACAACATATCCGATTACACTGATTCAGGCTGTCCCAGTTCTCCACGCGATACTGACGCCCGTTCGTCTCCCAGACCATAGAGAATAAATTTAAAAGGAATCCAGCTCAAGTCTAGAACGAATTGGCAAGCCTAGATTGCCTCAATTCTATCCATGAAAGTAAGCATTAATAAAACAATATTGTTCTTGTCTACTTCAGATTATATTTTATAGAGACATATTTTTAACTAGGAAAATTGTACTGACACCGGCGCTGTCCCTGTTGAAGCTATTTATAAGAATTTCGAATTGTCGTCCATTGTTCGATGTCAATACATCGATGACAAGTGAGGATATCATAAAGTAATCGTTGATGCCGCGCTACACTATAATAAAAATAATAATCAAGTTGACTGGTGTGTACATTACTACAGTGAACATGTACATGATCATGCCCTTATAATCAAATGCCGTAATGTCAAATACTAATATATTATTGTGTGATGAATTTAACTGGATCAGTGGTAACATGTGATATTAATATTCCATCAATTTCTCTCCTGGTTGGTCCATCCATATCTACAAAATGAACATAATACAATTAAAATGGAGCCTAGACCAGTTCTTAATTTCAGGCTAGGGCTGTGGAAATCTAGACTTTCCCAATCGTTATAGATTTGAGTTGGTCTCATTCTTTACATTATTCTCTTGCGTCAACGCCACAGCTCATACCATACACTAACAAGACCAGATTGCCCCCCGCCGGAGCTCCTGGATTTTGGTTATATCATCTAACATGGCCAACTCTGTTCTTAAGTAAACAAGAACCTAATCAGCGAGGGGTCCTTTATCATCCCTATGTGACTGCTTATAAAAATCTGATATCTCTTCCCAAAGACCTGGTTAATAATATATTTTCTGCTGATTATTCGAAACAGAGTGATTGAGTAGGTACTACATATGTTTACGGTTCTATTTTAAATGACTGCAGCGCTCCATTATGAAAACAAATTGTTTTAACGCCGCTCTCAGCAGTATTACAGTGACGGCGGTCTGTTGTATATGAAATAAATGCAAATTGAATCTTGAATCTTGAAAGTTGTAACATTTCCGCTAATAAGTATCACATGCAGTATACAGTATATCAACTGCAATATACTGTATACAACATGCAGTATACAGTGTGTCGCGAGCTCTGCGCTGGGCTGGAGCACACATTTCCTACCCCTCTCCCTTCGGCAAACACCTCATGAGGGTTGCAACGAGGTCACAGGTCAGGCGTGCACTCGTCAGTTGTCTAATGCGGTCAAGAGTAAGATCTTCCGGAAGACCACTGCACTAGAGGTATGTGGATTGTTGATGAGGTACTACGTGTTTGGAACTGGGAGTCGAACACTAAGCACTTTTAGAGAAGAGCTCACAATAAAACGTTATGGACTCGCGGACGGATTTGTGTTTTCAATTCAAGACGTACATGTATCAGGTTGAACTTCTACGACAGATGTAATTTGGTTACCGCTTCCTAACTGTTGACTAAACTTTACGCCTTTTATACACATTTGTGATGGGGCGACAATGCGACAACGAGACATATTTTGACCTTGAGAATGTCGCGTTACGGCATCGTCGCCCTTTTGTAAAATAAAGAAAAGGATTATTCAAAGAGCGACAATGCAAACACGCGACAATGCGACAAATGGCCAATTGTTGCGCTTTTGTTAATTTTGACACGTTTTGCTTGTTTTTGTAAGGGCGTCAATGCGACAATGCGACAATGCGACAACGCGACAATGTCCCTTCCGCGATCCGTGCAAACTGAGTTATGAAATAGAAGTCTGATATGCCAATTAAAGGATAAAGTGTTGCAGCTTCTGATTTCATAGATCTTCAAGAAGGATTATCAATAATGGCATGGGTGATGAGTTCAACTGCATGCCGAGTGTATACGCTGTGATTAACAATAATGCTCCGAGTCAATACATTTTGTCAAAATGTATGACATGTATTACGTGAATGAACATATTGTTTATACTCGTCCATGTTTTTGACGGACAATATAATTTACATGCTCGGTAAAAGTGAGGACGGGCATCACTGTGTGTTTCCGTGCTTTGTTCAGGTGAACAATTGACTTGTCCTTGCATGTGTTTGTGACGGGTGCCACTTGTGTGGCAGGATACGCTCACCTTTTCGCGAACACCCGTTTGATGGCCTGAACCAATTCGGATTTAAATCCCACATCAGTCTGTACACCGTGATATAACTGAAATACTGAAATATAGTTGAAAACGGTGTTTAATGCGATTACCGTAGTGTGTTACTGCAACTGTTCAAATGTTGTGCAGTGCTGTTATGTAATATGTAAAAGAAAGCATATTCAATTATCCAATTGATTTCAATAATGCGTCAGTGTATTTTATTAACGCCCCAAACCGTAATTTAAACACATATAATAACAGATCATATACACGCATGGTGCCTTGACTTACTGCTAACTTTAATAGGCCATCCCGGAATAAAATAGTTCCCCCCACCCCCCACCCCCATGTTTTAGTATGTTTACAAGAAATATATTCCAAACAATATCCTCATTAGATGAGAATTACCTCAGTAAGTCAATTACAATGACAGAGCGTCGTCATACATTTACATCAAGTACAATACGTCAAAATGGCCGACGCTAAAAACGTGACGGGAGATATTTCCGAAGTTGGTAATTAACCTGTGGCTATTTCAAGCCTTAGTCATCACTGATCAATTGGCCGATCGTTGAAAGGTGATTGTAAAGATGTGTCAAATAGATACTAAGGTAAATTCATAGATTGCTGTAGATTGTCACTACGATAGTTTGGATGTTTTTTTCGTTTGTTTTTTCTCTGGGATGGGTTGTAGCGAGAGTATCCTTAAACGGGCATGCAACCACGCTTCTGTGTGAATTCGTACCAGGGATTTCCAAGGGTTTTCCCAAGGAATGTGGAAGTAGTCAGTGTTTACGCCATTTCAAGAATACAGTCACGTGAAGAACGTCATGTGACCGACCTCTCGTCCTAGCCGTATATCTTTTAAACTTCACATTAAAAAATTAGTTATTATTATAACCAAATGAAACACAACCCGTTATTCGATAGGGGTAACTGTTCATAGCCGAGGGATATGTTACTACAATAAACTTGGTAACATTGTTTGGTTTGACTTCTTGGCGCGTGCCTGAATTCCATTAACATGTTACATTTCCTAAAACTGGCTTATCAGCAAATATCGCTGCACTGCGCGCGACAGATACTAGAGCAAGGCATGCCAGAAATACGAAACCTAAGGCTTTCGAAAGGAAGCCTTGGGCATCACGTACGTCGGGGGACCAGCGCCAGCTGATTGGCCATTAACAGGTGTACAAGGCGGAGCAAAAAGCATCGTTTTTCCGTCCAATTTACGCTTGAAAAACTCGACCCTTTTCTGCACACTTTCTAGACTCACCAATTAATCAATTTTAAGAAATTTTAGTCGTTTTTCCGTCCAATGACCATATACGAAAAAAACCCGACGTTTTCGAGTTTGCAGTGCCAGCGGCGACAGTTTTCAAGCTTCTGTGATGGGCTAGTCAGGGATTCAGGGATGATGAGTGATCCTCACATAAAAGCTGGTTCCGATGTGATGAAATGTGTAAAAGATACGCTATTGTCCCCTTAATATACAGCCTTACTAGGCACTGTAAATTTCTACACAGTGCCCTGGAACATTCCACATGTGTCTATAACATACTGTTACCGTCCGCGGTATACCGAACCGGAAGTCTTCATACCACACTAGCATCTAAATATAGTAACTTTCTGACGACAGATCACTGTCCCAACACAATGCAATGATAATCTACCGAATGTCATCACAATCATTGTAACACAGTAAAAAACACTGCCATTTAACACACTATATAAACTGCCGGGTAAAAGAAACTATAGTCCATGGTTGATGGTGGCTAAAATAAAAGAAACAAGAACTGGTTATTCGATGGTACGTGTAATGTATTTGATACAGGTACCACGGTGTTACACCCATCACATCAGTGTCTCTTTGACAACAGGTCAGCCTAGTAACGTGTTGTTAACATTTGTAACTGTTTGATAAAATCCAACTTTCAAGTGTAACTGTCTTTTGCCCGGCAGATTATAGCAATAATTATACGTGTCTAAGCTATTGCGGGCACGGGAGGCCCTATCGTCTAAGGAGCTGCAATTTGCTGTGCAGAGTTACGTCCGTAGGGTACGCCAGAAACCTATAACTGTGGCTCGAATCCCGGTTCGCCCCGTTTATGTTTCAAGGTTTGTCCGTGTCCATACCCTTGCTCGAGGGTTTACACCAAAGTGGTAAATATCTGAGACCCATGGCCACATCACTTCAGTCTCCCCCCCCCCCCCCCCACCCCCCCCCTCCCCACCCCCCCACACACACACACCCCCCCCCCCACCCCCCACACCCCACACACCCCCACACCCCACACCTCCCATCCCTACACATTTCTAAACACGTTCAGAGCTAATTATTTCTCGCATGTGCGGCAGGATCCGCTCACTATTTGATGTGATTCCTAAAGACGAAGTCGGAATCGTACAATATACAACGTTTACAGCAGATATATTTTCTATAAACTTGTAACATTATTGGTAGCTTTTATTTCATATCAAAACACATTTTTACGGCGTATATGATTAGATACACTTGATTTACAAATGACAGAGTGTAACCATGGTAACTGTACGAAATGAAAGTGTCTCTAAATTCTTGTTTCAGTTTTTCTGGCACTTTGTGCAGGAGCGCCTTTTCGTAAGTGTACATGCACCAAGTGTTTTATTTTTAGAAACAACTGTCACGACCCTTATCAAAACAGGTGGTTTGGTTTTTGCGCCTCTTTTAGCATTGTTCCAACCATGTCACACCGTGGTCAAGGGGAATGATCGAGTACGAATGTAGAGATCTGAACCCGACCCCTTCGTCTTGACGACTTAACGCTTCGCCCATTGAAGACCCGGGTGCAGCAACAATGCTTGTCGTAAGAGGCGACTATGCTTGTCGTAAGAGGCGACTCTGCTTGTCGTAAGAGGCGACTCTGCTTGTCGTAAGAGGCAACTCTGCTTGTCGTAAGAGGCGACTATGCTTGTCGTAAGCTGCGACTATGCTTGACGTAAGAGGCGACTATGCTTGTCGTAAGAGGCGACTATGCTTGTCGTAAGAGGCGACTATGCTTGTCGTAAGAGGCGACTCTGCTTGTCGTAAGAGGCGACTATGCTTGTCGTAAGAGGCGACTATGCTTGTCGTAAGAGGTGACTATGCTTGTCGTAAGAGGCGACTATGCTTGTCGTAAGAGGCGACTATGCTTGTCGTAAGATGCGACTATGCTTGTCGTAAGAGGCGACTATGATTGTTGTAAGAGGCGACTATGCTTGTCGTAAGAGGGGACTATGCTTGTCGTAAGATGCGACTATGCTTGTCGTAAGAGGCGACTATGCTTGTCTAAATAGGCGACTCTGCTTGTTGTAAGAGGCGACTATGTTTGTCGTAAGAGGCGACTAACAGGATGGGGTCGTCAGGCTCTTTTACTTGGTTGATGCATTTCACCGAATCCCAACTGTGTAGATCAATGCTTAGGATGTCAATCACTAGTCTGTCTGGTCCAGACTCGATTTTGTACACCGTCATATTGTTTGAATATTGCTGAGTGCGTAAACGAGAAAAAAACTTAACGCTTAACGTTTCCACTTTAGATGCGACGAAACCGTTTTTCACTGTCTCATATTCCAGGTAACACCTGCTACCGCTGCACAGATGCCTCGAACAACACTGAATGTCAATTTCTTACACTATGCCTCCCAAGTCAGGTAGGAGTCCCTCGCTACATGTCTCCCTTGTCAGGTAGGACTCCCTAGATTCCCTCGCTACATGTCTCCCTTGTCAGGTAGGACTCCCTCGCTACATGTCTCCTTGTCAGGTAGGACTCCCTCGCTACATATTTCCCTTGTCAGGTAGGACTCCCTCGCTACATGTCTCCCTTGTCAGGTAGGACTCCCTCGCTACATGTCTCCCTAGTCAGGTAGGACTCCCTCGCTACATGTCTCCTTTGTCATGTAGGACTCCCTCGCTACATGTCTCCTTTGTCAGGTAGGACTCCCTCGCTACATGTTTCCCTTGTCAGGTAGGACTCCCTCGCTACATGTCTCCCTTGTCAGGTAGGACTCCCTCGCTACATGTCTCCTTTGTCATGTAGGACTCCCTCGCTACATGTCTCCCTTGTCAGGTAGAACTCCCTCACTACATGTCTCCCTTGTCAAGTAGGACTCCCTAGACTCCCTCGCTACATGTCTCCCTTGTCAGGTAGGACTCCCTCGCTACATGTCTCCTTGTCAGGTAGGACTCCCTCGCTACATGTCTCCCTAGTCAGGTAAGACTCCCTCGCTACATGTCTCCTTTGTCATGTAGGACTCCCTCGCTACATGTCTCCTTTGTCAGGTAGGACTCCCTCGCTACATGTCTCCTTTGTCAGGTAGGACTCCCTAGCTACATGTCTCCCTTGTCAGGTAGGACTCCCTCGCTACATGTCTCCTTGTCAGGTAGGACTCACTCGCTACATGTCTCCCTTGTCAGATAGGACTCACTCGCTACATGTCTCCTTGTCAGGTAGGACTCACTCGCTACATGTCTCCCTTGTCAGGTAGGACTCCCTCGCTACATGTCTCCTTGTCAGGTAGGACTCACTCGCTACATGTCTCCTTGTCAGGTAGGACTCACTCGCTACATGTCTCCCTTGTCAGGTAGGACTCCCTCGCTACATGTCTCCTTGTCAGGTAGGACTCCCTCGCTACATGTCTCCCTTATCAGATAGGACTCCCTCGCTACATGTCTCCCTTGTCAGGTAGGACTCCCTCGCTACATGTCTCCCTAGTCAGGTAGGACTCCCTCGCTACATGTCTCCTTTGTCATGTAGGACTCCCTCGCTACATGTCTCCTTTGTCAGGTAGGACTCCCTCGCTACATGTTTCCCTTGTCAGGTAGGACTCCCTCGCTACATGTCTCCCTTGTCAGGTAGGACTCCCTCGCTACATGTCTCCTTTGTCATGTAGGACTCCCTCGCTACATGTCTCCCTTGTCAGGTAGAACTCCCTCACTACATGTCTCCCTTGTCAAGTAGGACTCCCTAGACTCCCTCGCTACATGTCTCCCTTGTCAGGTAGGACTCCCTCGCTACATGTCTCCTTGTCAGGTAGGACTCCCTCGCTGCATGTCTCCCTAGTCAGGTAAGACTCCCTCGCTACATGTCTCCTTTGTCATGTAGGACTCCCTCGCTACATGTCTCCTTTGTCAGGTAGGACTCCCTCGCTACATGTCTCCTTTGTCAGGTAGGACTCCCTAGCTACATGTCTCCCTTGTCAGGTAGGACTCCCTCGCTACATGTCTCCTTGTCAGGTAGGACTCACTCGCTACATGTCTCCCTTGTCAGATAGGACTCACTCGCTACATGTCTCCTTGTCAGGTAGGACTCACTCGCTACATGTCTCCCTTGTCAGGTAGGACTCCCTCGCTACATGTCTCCTTGTCAGGTAGGACTCACTCGCTACATGTCTCCTTGTCAGGTAGGACTCACTCGCTACATGTCTCCCTTGTCAGGTAGGACTCACTCGCTACATGTCTCCTTGTCAGGTAGGACTCACTCGCTACATGTCTCCCTTGTCAGATAGGACTCACTCGCTACATGTCTCCCTTGTCAGGTAGGACTCACTCGCTACATGTCTCCCTTGTCAGGTAGGACTCACTCGCTACATGTCTCCCTTGTCAGGTAGGACTCCCTCGCTACATGTCTCCCTAGTCAGGTAGGACTCCCTCGCTACATGTCTCCTTTGTCATGTAGGACTCCCTCGCTACATGTTTCCCTTGTCAGGTAGGACTCCCTCGCTACATGTTTCCCTTGTCAGGTAGGACTCCCTCGCTACATGTCTCCCTTGTCAGGTAGGACTCCCTCGCTACATGTCTCCTTTGTCATGTAGGACTCCCTAGCTACATTTCTCCCTTATCAGATAGGACTCCCTTGCTACATGTCTCCTTGTCAGGTAGGACTCCCTCGCTACATGTCTCCCTTGTCAGGTAAGACTCCCTCGCTACATGTCTCCCTTGTCAGATAGGACTCACTCTCTACATGTCTCCTTGTCAGGTAGGACTCCCTCGCTACATGTCTCCCTTATCAGATAGGACTCCCTCGCTACATGTCTCCCTTATCAGATAGGACTCCCTCGCTACATGTCTCCTTGTCAGGTAGGACTCCCTAGATTCCCTCGCTACATGTCTCCCTTGTCAGGTAGGACTCCCTCGCTACATGTCTCCTTGTCAGGTAGGACTCCCTCGCTACATATTTCCCTTGTCAGGTAGGACTCCCTCGCTACATGTCTCCCTTGTCAGGTAGGACTCCCTCGCTACATGTCTCCCTTGTCAGATAGGACTCACTCTCTACATGTCTCCTTGTCAGGTAGGACTCCCTCGCTACATGTCTCCCTTATCAGATAGGACTCCCTCGCTACATGTCTCCCTTATCAGATAGGACTCCCTCGCTACATGTCTCCCTTGTCAGGTAGGACTCCCTAGATTCCCTCGCTACATGTCTCCCTTGTCAGGTAGGACTCCCTCGCTACATGTCTCCTTGTCAGGTAGGACTCCCTCGCTACATATTTCCCTTGTCAGGTAGGACTCCTTCGCTACATGTCTCCCTTGTCAGGTAGGACTCCCTCGCTACATGTCTCCCTTGTCAGGTAGGACTCCCTCGCTACATGTCTCCTTTGTCATGTAGGACTCCCTCGCTACATGTCTCCTTTGTCAAGTAGGACTCCCTCGCTACATGTTTCCCTTGTCAGGTAGGACTCCCTCGCTACATGTCTCCCTTGTCAGGTAGGACTCCCTCGCTACATGTCTCCTTTGTCATGTAGGACTCCCTCGCTACATGTCTCCCTTGTCAGGTAGAACTCCCTCACTACATGTCTCCCTTGTCAAGTAGGACTCCCTAGACTCCCTCGCTACATGTCTCCCTTGTCAGGTAGGACTCCCTCGCTACATGTCTCCTTGTCAGGTAGGACTCCCTCGCTACATGTCTCCCTAGTCAGGTAAGACTCCCTCGCTACATGTCTCCTTTGTCATGTAGGACTCCCTCGCTACATGTCTCCTTTGTCAGGTAGGACTCCCTCGCTACATGTCTCCTTTGTCAGGTAGGACTCCCTAGCTACATGTCTCCCTTGTCAGGTAGGACTCCCTCGCTACATGTCTCCTTGTCAGGTAGGACTCACTCGCTACATGTCTCCCTTGTCAGATAGGACTCACTCGCTACATGTCTCCTTGTCAGGTAGGACTCACTCGCTACATGTCTCCCTTGTCAGGTAGGACTCCCTCGCTACATGTCTCCTTGTCAGGTAGGACTCACTCGCTACATGTCTCCCCAGTCAGGTAGGACTCACTCGCTACATGTCTCCCTTGTCAGGTAGGACTCCCTCGCTACATGTCTCCTTGTCAGGTAGGACTCACTCGCTACATGTCTCCCTTGTCAGATAGGACTCACTCGCTACATGTCTCCCTTGTCAGGTAGGACTCACTCGCTACATGTCTCCCTTGTCAGGTAGGACTCACTCGCTACATGTCTCCCTTGTCAGGTAGGACTCCCTCGCTACATGTCTCCCTAGTCAGGTAGGACTCCCTCGCTACATGTCTCCTTTGTCATGTAGGACTCCCTCGCTACATGTTTCCCTTGTCAGGTAGGACTCCCTCGCTACATGTTTCCCTTGTCAGGTAGGACTCCCTCGCTACATGTCTCCCTTGTCAGGTAGGACTCCCTCGCTACATGTCTCCTTTGTCATGTAGGACTCCCTAGCTACATTTCTCCCTTATCAGATAGGACTCCCTTGCTACATGTCTCCTTGTCAGGTAGGACTCCCTCGCTACATGTCTCCCTTGTCAGGTAGGACTCCCTCGCTACATGTCTCCCTTGTCAGGTAGGACTCCCTCGCTACATGTCTCCCTTGTCAGATAGGACTCACTCTCTACATGTCTCCTTGTCAGGTAGGACTCCCTCGCTACATGTCTCCCTTATCAGATAGGACTCCCTCGCTACATGTCTCCCTTATCAGATAGGACTCCCTCGCTACATGTCTCCTTGTCAGGTAGGACTCCCTCGCTACATGTCTCCCTTATCAGATAGGACTCCCTCGCTACATGTCTCCCTTGTCAGGTAGAACTCCCTTGCTACATGTCTCCCTTGTCAGGTAAGACTCCCTCGCTACATGTCTCCCTTATCAGATAGGACTCCCTCGCTACATGTCTCCCTTATCAGATAGGACTCCCTCGCTACATGTCTCCTTGTCAGGTAGGACTCCCTCGCTACATGTCTCCATTATCAGGTAGGACTCCCTCGCTACATGTCTCCCTTATCAGATAGGACTCCCTCGCTACATGTCTCCTTGTCAGGTAGGACTCCCTCGCTACATGTCTCCCTTATCAGATAGGACTCCCTCGCTACATGTCTCCTTGTCAGGTAGGACTCCCTCGCTACATGTCTCCCTTATCAGATAGGACTCCCTCGCTACATGTCTCCCTTATCAGATAGGACTACCTAGACACATATCTCCCTTGTCAGATAGGACTCCCTCGCTACATGTCTCCTTGTCAGGTAGGACTCCCTCGCTACATGTCTCCTTTGCCAGGTAGGACTTCCTCGCTACATGTCTCCCTTATCAGATAGGACTCCCTCGCTACATGTCTCCCTTATCAGATAGGACTCCCTCGCTACATGTCTCCTTGTCAGGTAGGACTCCCTCGCTACATGTCTCCCTTGTCAGGTAGGACTCCCTCGCTACATGTCTCCCTTATCAGATAGGACTCCCTCGCTACATGTCTCCCTTATCAGATAGGACTCCCTCGCTACATGTCTCCTTTGCCAGGTAGGACTTCCTCGCTACATGTCTCCCTTATCAGATAGGACTCCCTCGCTACATGTCTCCCTTATCAGATAGGACTCCCTCGCTACATGTCTCCTTGTCAGGTAGGACTCCCTCGCTACATGTCTCCCTTGTCAGGTAGGACTCCCTCGCTACATGTCTCCCTTATCAGATAGGACTCCCTCGCTACATGTCTCCCTTATCAGATAGGACTCACTCGCTACATGTCTCCTTGTCAGGTAGGACTCCCTCGCTACATGTCTCCTTGTCAGGTAGGACTCCCTCGCTACATGTCTCCCCAGTCAGGTAGGACTCCCTCGCTACATGTCTCCTTGTCAGATAGGACTCACTCGCTACATGTCTCCTTGTAAGGTAGGACTCCCTCGCTACATGTCTCCCTTGTCAGGTAGGACTCCCTCGCTACATGTCTCCCTTGTCAGATAGGACTCCCTCGCTACATGTCTCCCTTGTCAGATAGGACTCACTCGCTACATGTCTCCTTGTCAGGTAGGACTCACTCGCTACATGTCTCCTTGTCAGGTAGAACTCCCTCGCTACATGTCTCCCTTGTCAGGTAGGACTCCCTAGACTCCCTCGCTACATGTCTCCTTGTCAGGTAGGACTCACTCGCTACATGTCTCCTTGTCAGGTAGGACTCACTCGCTACATGTCTCCTTGTCAGGTAGGACTCCCTCGCTACATGTCTCCTTGTCAGGTAGAACTCCCTCGCTACATGTCTCCCTTTTTAGGTAGGACTCCCTCGCTACATGTCTCCCTTGTCAGGTAGGACTCACTCGCTACATGTCTCCTTGTCAGGTAGGACTCTCTCGCTACATGTCTCCCCAGTCAGGTAGGACTCCTTCGCTACGTCTCCTTGTCAGGTAGGACTCCTTCGCTACATGTCTCCTTGTCAGGTAGGACTCCCTCGCTACATGTCTCCTTGTCAGGTAGGACTCACTCGCTACATGTCTCCCCAGTCAGGTAGGACTCCTTCGCTACATGTCTCCCCAGTCAGGTAGGACTCCTTCGCTACATGTCTCCTTGTCAGGTAGGACTCACTCGCTACATGTCTCCTTGTCAGGTAGGACTCCTTCGCTACATGTCTCCTTGTCAGGTAGGACTCACTCGCTACATGTCTCCTTGTCAGGTAGGACTCACTCGCTACATGTCTCCCCAGTCAGGTAGGACTCCTTCGCTACATGTCTCCCTAGTCAGGTAGGACTCCCCAGCCACATGTCTCAGGTGGGGCACCCGTATAACATCCACGTAGCTGTGCATACTTTACGTTTAGACATGACCATCACAATCCACCCTTTGCGTATGAAAGTACCTTTTAGGGAATAGGTTCTGGTTAGTTCAAGAGGACTCGAACAAGCCAGGTCAACGATAAGAGGTCCGAATGGACCTTCGTAGTTAAATATATAACGCCAACCCCAGACACGTGGCGTGGCCCAGACATGGCCTACATACAAAGAACCTTTGCACCTGAAATGTGTACACAACCATATCGTGATATCCGTGGTTTAAAAGACATTCAAGAACTTTGTACTCATCTGTCAGAACACTGTATGAATCACCCCTGCGTGACGCACGTCATATATTGTCCCTGTGTCTTTGGCACGTGCCCCTGGTGAATCAGTTTCAACATGAGGGAAGATGAAGGCCTTATATAGCAGGTATATGTACAGTTCCCATTTGGCTGACTTGGTGATAGTGCTGGTATGAACAATCATAGCATTGATCAGAAACAGAGTATTGTATGTGTGTGTGTGTGCGTGCGTGCGTGCGTGCGTGTGTGTTTGTTTGTGCGTGTGCGTGCGTGCGTGCGTGTGTGTGTGTGTGTGTGCATGTGCGTGTGTGTGTGTGTGTGTGCTTGCGTGTGTGTGTGTGTGTGTGCGTGTGTCTGCGTGCGTGCGTGCGTGCGTGCGTGCGTGTGTGTGTGTGTATGTATGAATAGACCAGGTACTACAGTGTCTTAATCAGAATCTGGTCAAGTATATTGGTTTGATACACCAGCTGACGGCTGGCTTTTTTTTATTCTCTGATTTGCAATGTTTAGCTACCTAAGCTATGAATGGGCGAACAGAAAACACGCTCTTGTCACCGAAATGTTCTCCTATGAAAAGACCGCCTCCGTGGTCTAGTGGTAGAGCGTCCGCACGGAGAGGGGAAGGTCCGGGGTTTAATCCCCGGCCGCGTCATACCAAAAGACGTTAAAAGATGGTTCTTGTTGTTACCCTGTCTGGCCCTCGGCATTAAGGGGCTAAAACAAGGACTGGTCGGCTCGGAGTCAGTATACTGTGTCTGAGTGGGGTATTCACGTGAAACTGCGGCATGGTATCTCAGTGTGCTAGCACTATAAATCAGCATCAGTCCGGACTAGTACAAGCAGCCACACAAACACACACACGTGCATGCACGTCGCTATATAAGTGCAATGATCTTGGACGCGACGTTAAACCCCATTTCACCTCACCTCCCCAATAGCATGAAATATGTGAAAATACAGTTATCGTATACCAACTGAATCAGATCCAGCATCTAGATTGTTCAAGGCATTATATAACAAATTTGTGATGTAACCTTAGTTCCTCTTCTACTGGATGGACACCGGATGTGCTCGTTAATGGTTTATATATGATACGTGATAGTCAAGGTGGGCCGAGGTGTGTTTGTTAATAGTTTATATATGATACATGATAGTCAAGGTGGGCCGAGATGACTTTGTTAATAGTTTATGTATGATTCATCGTAGTCAAGGTGGGCAGAGATGTGTTTGTCAAAAATTTATATATGATACGTGATAGTCAAAGTGGGCAGTGATGAGTTGGTTAATAGTTTATATATTATACGTGATAGTCAAGGTGGGCAGAGATGTATTTGTTAATAATTTATATATGATACATGATAGTCAAGGTGGGCAGTGATGTGTTTGTCAATAATTTATATATGATACGTGATAGACAAGGTGGGCAGAGATGTGTTTGTTAATAGTTTATATATGATACATGATAGTCAATGTGGGCAGTGATGTGTTTGTCAATAATTTATATATGATACATGATGGTCAAGGTTGGCAGTGATGTGTTTGTTAATAGTTTATATATGATACATGATAGTCAAGGTGGGCAGAGATGTATTTGTTATAATAGTTTATATATGATACATGATAGTCAATGTGGGCAGTGATGAGTTTGTTAATAGTTTATATATTATACATGATAGTCAATGTGGGCAGAGATGTGTTTGTTAATAGTTTATATATGATACATGATAGTCAAAGTGGGCAGTGATGAGTTTGTTAATAGTTTATATATTATACGTGATGGTCATGTGGGCAGAGATGTATTTGTTAATAGTTTATATATTATACGTGATGGTCATGTGGGCAGAGATGAGTTTGTTAATAGTTTATATATGATACATGATAGTCAATGTGGGCAGTGATGTGTTTGTCAATAGTTTATATATGATACATGGCTGACTGGTATCTCTTAATGCCAATTGCCTCTAGTAGTGACCTTTGGTGCATTTGTTAGCCTCGGTCATAACGGTATGTCTTCAAGTTGATTCTAGCGGAATTCTGGTCTCGTTTTTTTACATTGATCGGATGTTCTTTTGGGTCTGGTGTTGAGGGCACTGAGGGTTTCTGCAATGTATGGTGGTTACACCTGAGGGGATTTGGTATACACATCCCTTGGGGTTGGGACTTGTGTTGCTGATGCCTCTTCCATTGGTCAATAGATGGGTCTTGATGTTCTTGTCGCTGGAAACAGGGACATCTATACTGGCTTTGTTCTTGACCAGGCTGGAAATCTGATGACTAAGACGGCCTTGGCATGGTATGGTGATTCTGATGGGCGATGGGGCCGGTGTGGGTCTTGGCTCGGAGTGTCTTATTTATGGTGAGAGACTAAGTGGACATGGTACCTGTTGGTTGCTGATGGCATCAGGATGGCAAACAGATTTGTTACGGATCGGGCGAGGGTGGTGATGTTGGCTTGTTTTGTGTGGGGATGGTGGCAGAAGTAGATCAAAGACGTATATAGACGTATATATTGTATGTACGTCCGTGAGTAGATGTACCAGTCTGCATGTGCTGACTTGCGGTAAACTCATGTTCTTAGTCCATCTTGTCTAGTTTGGAGGGAGACGTCACGTTCGGGAGGTGTTGATTGATATCTGTCTCCGTGGGGAGAATCTGTACCGGTATAAAATCTCCGGGGTGAGAATTTGTACGGGGGAGAGTTTATACCGGGACACCGGCAACCAAAGAACATCATTTTGACCTTTGAACCATTTATTCACGTGTTTGTGGCTTGTATTCAGTATGAATGTTGTGATGTGGTTCCATGGTGATATTTATCATCTTATTTTTGATATTTATATTGGTTATACTCCAACATTTTATTAAATGCCCTGGTGGGGTGTCATGTTTCTGGGTTTTTATTTACAGAACCGATGTCTGACGCAAATGAGGTTTTCTGACTCTGGGATCGTGATTGGCAAGCGATGCGCACCAATGCAGGTACAGTTAGTACTTCACCTTAATGCTGAGTGAGTGAGTTGCCTTTAACAACGCTTCGAACAGTATTTCAGTATATATCACGGCGTGTCAGTCAGCCTGACGTGAGAGGAAATATAAAATGTCAGTGACAGAGAAAAACCAGTCTAGATTATCCGCCGAAACAGATTTCATTTGGCATAAAGTGCAAAATAGCGGTGAAAATTATATGAGTGAGTGAGTATGGTTTTACGCCACTTTTAGCAATATTCCAGCAATATCACGGCGAGGGACACAAGAAAATGGCTTCACACATTGTACACATGTCGGGAATCGAACCAAACTAATTTCCCCTGATTCAGAAATACAGATCGGAAAATCAGTATCTAATATCCTGCCAAATATTATCGTATAACACATTTTGCAGAACTGTAATATATATTTCGCCACGATATAGTTACATTGTACGTATACAGAACACAAAGTTACAACAGTATCTCGGGCGTGCGGGGATGCTTTCTCTGTATAAATATGCTGTACATCACACTGTGTCATTTCAGACATGCTACGTCTACGAGCAGTACAACCAGGACGCTTGCAGCAACCCCGATGAAGAGTTCGAGGGCTATTGTTCGTTCTGTTGTGAGGGGTCACGCTGCAACCAGGGTCTACCACCTTATGGTAAAAAGGCTCAATACCATCACGCCTTTCCTTGTGTCTTCGTCGCCGCGAATATCTGCAAGCTTGTTTCGCTGTTTTGTGTCATCGGCTCAAGAAAATCAAACATTATAATCAAAAGGCATTCACTCGACACTTCTGAACCAAATTAGAACGGGGTTTACTATGTTCACTCGTTCACGTGACGATCACATTAAACACAATCTGTGACGCTATAATTTAATCGATTTCGAAATTAAACTTGAGCTCCTAGTAACCATTGACAAATGTTTTCTAAAATTCAACCGTCATTTGTACGAAATATAAACATAGGGATATATCATATATGGATGTCAGGAGATCCGAGGATGTCAGCCGGCTGATCTCGTTCAGAGTTCATAGGGTCGGATCAAAGGTTATACTAGAGACTCCTTGTTTGCCAGTATGACCAGGATTACAAACGATTCCATGTTGTTGGTGATGGTAACCCCTTCGTTAAGTTGTTATGTACTTACTAGAGTGATTTGGTGAACTATTACAACTTGTCTAGTAATCCTCTACTGTTTGTCTGCTTGTTTGTTTGTTGTTTAACGCCGCACTCAGCAAAATTCCAGTTATATGACGGCGGTCTGTAAATAATCGAGTCTGGACCAGACAATCCAGTGATTGACATCATGAGCATCGATCGACGCAATTGGGAAACGATGACATGCATCAACCAAGTCAGCGAGCCTGACCACCCGATCCCGTTAGTCGCCTCTTACGGCAAGCATAGTCGCCTTTTACGAAAATCTTCAACACCTTATATTGCATAGTGTTTTGAAATGTTTAACCCAATGGACACGTTCATTATTTACATATCGTATTATTCCACATAGTATTGCACATAACATTTATCTATGTTACATGTATATGACGGTTACATGGACTATTTAAAACCCATTCGCGTCTGGCTCTCAAGGCATGTATAATGGTACCTTTTGTTTGTTAAGCATCTGTGTGTGTTGAAACACGTGTTCTTTTAAAGGGAAATATAACTATTTAGTCGTCTGTTCAGGTAACTAATTTTAAATATTGTTTCCTGAGTAGACTATTATTTAAACAACATTAGCTTACCTCTAGCTGAAATGTGTGGTCCTGGCAATGGCAAAGTAACCCAGACATTACAGGCATACAACTATTATTTTGTGCTTTGTGACACCAGATGTTGTAAACAACTTATACTCATGTCGTAAACAACTATTGTTGTAGGAATATGAAACCCGGATGCTAGAGAATAACTGTTTCGATTTTCAAACGAATCATATTTCATTTGGCGTAAAAGGTATCAAATTATATAAATGGATAACTTAAAATCAATGATGATGCCAGGTGTTCGCAACCCTAAATCTGTGTTCCATGAGCTTGGTTTGCGTCGCGTGAGAGCAGGACAAAACACAGGACAGAACAAGAATAAAGAATGGCTTTAAACCTATTGAAATATGTAAAAAATTAAATCTGTACAAAACAAATTAATGGCAGGCTAGGAAATGATAAAATGATAGGTAAAACTATTTGTAAAGATAAAAGTGTCTGATTCTAATATAATTGACTACTAACCTCTCTTTTCAGACGTGCACCGCCCACTCACCCGTGCACCGCCCACTCACCCGTGCACCGCTCACTCACCCGTGCACCGCCCACTCACCCGTGCACTGCCCACTCACCCGTGCACCGCCCACTCACCCGTGCACCGCCCACTCACCCGTGCACCGCCCACTCACCCGTGCACCGCTCACTCACCCGTGCACCGCTCACTCACCCGTGCACCGCCCACTCACCCGTGCACTGCCCACTCACCCGTGCACCGCCCACTCACCCGTGCACTGCCCACTCACCCGTGCACCGCCCACTCACCCGTGCACTGCCCACTCACCTTTAAATTTAGTGCAGTCAAAACGTCTGTAATTAATACATGTTGGCTGGTTGGCCCCGCACTATATGACTGCGGTCTGCAAATAATCGAGTCTGGACCAGACCGTCCAGCAATTGAAAACATGAACATCGATCCACGCAATTGAGATACGATGACATGAATCAACACAGACAGCGAGCCTGACCAGCCGATCCCGTCAGTCTTCTTTTACGACAAGCATAGTCGCCTTTTACGGCAAGCATAGGTTGCTGAAGACCTATTCTACCCCGAAACTTCACGGGTCTCTCCAGGTTGTACATTGGATGTGAGACTCATGTTTATTTGTTTGTTGTTTTACGCCGCACTCAGCAATATTCCAGCTCTATGACGGCGGTCTGTAAATAATCGAGTCTGGACCAGACAATCCAGTGATTGACATCATGAGCATCAATCCACGCTATTGGGTCAACTGATGTCAGAAATGTGACAGTGGTTGTTACGTTCAGTTTCTTCTTTAAGTGTTCGGGAATAACCGTTTTGTTAAATAGGATCCAAGTTGAATACACTAATATGCTAAATATACGTGCCCACAAAGGATTTGTCAAGTTTTATTTTGAAACAAATTTCCACACCACTCAGGGGCATGCTCAATGCGGTATTGTTACCCCGGTCACTGGAACCATGAGCTCTCAAGAATCAATCTCAGCTCCCTGGGAAGTATACAACCCAAGCTGCCTGTTAGGCACCAATACACAAAGGAACCAAAACACACGCCGAAATGCAACAGTTTTCAGCGGTTTTGTTTACATTCGTGTCACAGCGCGACCTTGCCTGATGAATTCAGAAAAAAAACGTCATTGCGAGATGAACTCTCGCTGACAACTGACAATGTTGGGATGAAGTGAAGTAGCATTTTGAGGCACATGAGGCCGCTGAAAAAAAATGTATACCTTGGCATTTGTTAAAAAGTATGACCACTAATAGTTGAGACAGGGAACGTTGGACGGCAGATCATACATGTATTCGCTAAAATGTCCATTTGTGCATTTTTTAGGGACAGTTTCGAAGAATCAAGCCGATGACGTGGATAACCGTGGAGGACCAGCTAGCAAGCCAGGAGGACCAGGTGCCATGTTAGGGGGACCAGAGAGCAGGCCAGGAGGACCGGGTGCCATGTTAGGGGGACCAGAGAGCAGGCCAGGAGGACCAGGTGCCTTGTTAGGGGGAACAGAGAGCAGACCAGGAGGACCAGGTGCCTTGTTAGGGGGACCAGAGAGCAGGCCAGGAGGACAAGGTGCCTTGTTAGGGGGACCAGAGAGCGGGCCAGGAGGACCAGGTGCCTTGTTAGGGGGACCTGAGAGCAGGCCAGAAGGACCAGGTGCCATGTTAGGGGGACCAGAGAGCAGGCCAGGAGGACCAGGTGCCTTGTTAGGGGGACCAGAGAACGGGCCAGAAGGACCAGGTGCCATGTTAGGGGGACCAGAGAGCAGGCCAGGGGGACCAGGTGCCTTGTTAGGGGGACCAGAGAGCAGGCCAGGAGGACCAGGTGCCTTGTTAGGGGGACCAGGGAGCAGGCCAGGAGGACCAGGCGGAATGTCAGGGGGGCCAGCTAACAATCCAGGAGGACCAGCTAACAATCCAGGAGGACCAGGCGGCATGTCAGGAGGACCAGCTACCAATCCAGGAGGACCAGCTACCAATCCAGGAGGACCAGCTAACAATTCAGGAGGACCAGCTAACAATCTAGGAGGGCCAGCTGCCAATCTAGGAGGACCGGCTACCAATCCAGGAGGATCAGCTAACAATCTAGGAGGACCAGGCGGCTTGTCAGGAGGACCAGCTACCAATCCAGGAGGACCAGCTAACAATCTAGAAGGACCAGCTGCTAATCCAGGAGGACCAGCTAACAATCTAGGTGGACCGGCTAACAATCCAGGAGGACTGGGCGGCATGTCAGGAGGACCAGCTACCAAGCCAGGAGGACCAGGAGGTAAGTCGGGGGGAACTAGGGGGTAAGTCAGGAGGAACCAGGAGGTTAGCCAGGAGGACCAGGACGTAAGTCAGGGGGAACCAGGCGGTAAGCCAGGAGGAACCAGGCGGTAAGTCAGGAGGACCAAGACGTAAGTCAGGGAGACCAGGAAATATATCAGGAAAACCAGGAAGTAAGTCAGGGAGACCAGGACGTAAATCAAGGATACCAGGAAGTCAGGAGGGCCAGAAAGTAAGTCAGTGGGAACCAGGCGGTAAGTCAGGAGGAACCAGGAAGTAAGTCAGCGGGAACCAGGAGGTAGGTCAGGGGGAACCAGGAAGTAAGTCAGGGAGAACCAGGAGGAAAGTCAGGGAGACCAGGAAATATATCAGGAAAACCAGGAAGTAAGTCAGGGAGACTAGGTAGTAAGTCAGGGAGACCAGGACGTAAATCAAGGATACCAGGACCTAAGTCAGGAGGGCCAGAAAGTAAGTCAGTGGGAACAAGGCGGTAAGTCAGCGGGAACCAGGCGGTAAGTCAGGAGGAACCAGGAAGTAAGTCAGGGAGAACCAGGCAGTAAGTCAGAGGGAACCAGGTGGTAAGTCAGCGGGAACCAGGCGGTAAGTCAGGAGGAACCAGGAAGTAAGTCAGGGAGAACCAGGCAGTAGATCAGGGGGAACCAGGCAGTAAGTCAGAGGGAACCAGGAGGTAGGTCAGGGGGAACCAGGCGGTAAGTCAGGGGGAACCAGGCGGTAAGTCAGGGTGACCAGGGTGTAAGTCAGGAGGAACCAGGAAGTAAGTCGGGGGAACCAGGCAGTAGATCAGGGGAACCAGACGGTCAGTCAGGGGGAACCAGGCGGTAAGTCAGGGGGATCAGACGGTAAATCAGGGGGAACCAGGCGGTTAGTCAGGGGGAACCAGGAGGTAAGTCAGGGGGAACCAGGCGGTAAGTCAGTGGGAATCAGGCGGTAAGTCAGGAGGAACCAGGAAGTAAGTCAGGGAGAACCAGGCAGTAAGTCAGAGGGAACCAGGTGGTAAGTCAGCGGGAACCAGGCGGTAAGTCAGGAGGAACCAGGAAGTAAGTCAGTGGGAACCAGGCAGTAGATCAGGGGGAACCAGGCAGTAAGTCAGGGGGAACCAGGAGGTAAGTCAGGGGGAACCAGGCAGTAGATCAGGGGGAACCAGGCAGTAAGTCAGAGGGAACCAGCAGGTAGGTCAGGGGGAACCAGGCGGTAAGTCAGGGGGAACCAGGCGGTAAGTCAGGGTGACCAGGTTGTAAGTCAGGAGGAACCACGAAGTAAGTCAGGGGGAACCAGGCAGTAGATCAGGGGGAACCAGGCAGTAAGTCAGAGGAAACCAGGAGGTAAGTCAGGGGGAACCAGGCGGTAAGTCAGGGGGGACCAGGCGGTAAGTCAAGGGGAACCAGGAGGTAAGTCAGGGGGAACCAGGCGGTAGGTCAGCGGGACCCAGGCAGTAAGTCAGGGGGAGCTAGGCAGTAAGTCAGGGGGAACCAGGCGGTAAGTCAGGAGGAACCAGCTGGTAAGTCAGGGGGAACCAGGAGGTAAGTCAGGGGGAACCAGGCGGTAAGTCAGGGGGAACCAGGCGGTAAGTCAGGAGGAACCAGGAGGTAAGTCAGGGGGAACCAGGCGGTAAGTCAGGGGGAACCAGGAGGTTAGTCAGGGGGAACCAGGCGGTAAGTCAGGGGGAACCAGGAGGTAAGTCAGGGGGAACCAGGCGGTAAGTCAGTGGGAACCAGGCGGTAAGTCAAGAGGAACCAGGAAGTAAGTCAGGGGGAACCAGGCGGTAAGTCAGGGGGAACCAGGCGGTAAGTCAGTGGGAACCAGGCGGTAAGTCAGGAGGAACCAGGAAGTAAGTCAGGGGGAACCAGGCGGTAAGTCAGGGGGAACCAGGAGGTAAGTCAGGGGGAACCAGGAGGTAAGTCAGGGGGAACCAGGAGGTAAGTCAGGGGGAACCAGGCGGTAGGTCAGCGGGACCCAGGCAGTAAGTCAGGGGGAGCCAGGCGGTAAGTCAGGGGGAACCAGGCGGTAAGTCAGGGGGAACCAGGAGGTAAGTCAGGGGGAACCAGGCGGTAAGTCAGGGGGAACCAGGAGGTAAGTCAGGGGGAACCAGGCGGTAAGTCAGGGGGAACCAGGAGGTAAGTCAGGGGGAACCAGGCGGTAAGTCAGTGGGAACAAGGCGGTAAGTCAGGGGGAACCAGGCGGTTAGTCAGGGGGAACCAGGCGGTAAGTCAGGGGGAACGAGGAGGTAAGTCAGGGGGAACGAGGAGGTAAGTCAGGGGGAACCAGGCGGTAAGTCAGGGGGAACCAGGAGGTAAGTCAGGGGGAACCAGGCGGTAAGTCAGTGGGAACCAGGCGGTAAGTCAGGAGGAACCAGGAAGTAAGTCAGGGGGAACCAGGCGGTAAGTCAGGGGGAACCAGGAGGTAAGTCAGGGGGAACCAGGCGGTAGGTTAGCGGGACCCAGGCAGTAAGTCAGGGGGAACTAGGCAGTAAGTCAGGGGGAACCAGGCGGTAAGTCAGGGGGAACCAGCCGGTAAGTCAGGGGGAACCAGGCGGTAAGTCAGTGGGAACCAGGAGGTAAGTCAGGGGGAACCAGGCGGTAAGTCAGGGGGAACCAGGAGGTAAGTCAGTGGGAACCAGGCGGTTAGTCAGGGGGAACCAGGAGGTAAGTCAGTGGGAACCAGGCGGTAAGTCAGGGGGAACCAGGCGGTAAGTCAGTGGGAACCAGGCGGTAAGTCAGGGGGAACCAGGCGGTAAGTCAGTGGGAACCAGGCAGTAAGTCAGGGGGAACCATGCGGTTAGTCAGGGGGAACCAGGCAGTAAGTCAGGAGGAACCAGGCGGTAAGTCAGATGGAACCAGGCGGTAAGTCAGGGGGAAACAGAGGGTAAGTCAGGGGGAATGAGGAGGTCAGTCAGGGGGCCCAGGTACCAATCAAGGAGGACCAGAGAGCAAGCCAGGATGACCAGGCGGTAAATCAGGGGGAACCAGGCGGTAAGTCAGGGCGACGAGGCACTTAGTCAGGGTGACGAGGTAGTAAGTCAGGGTTACCGGGCAGTATGTCAGGAGGACCAGGAAGTAAATCAGGAGGATCAGGAAGTAACTCAGGAATACAAGGACGTAAGTCAGGGTGACCAGGCGGTAAGTCAGGGTGACCAGGCAGTAGGTCAGGGGGATCCAGGCGGTAAGTCAGGGTGACCAGGCGGTAAGTCAGGGTGGCCAGGCAGTAAGTCAGGGTGACCAGGCGGTAAGTCAGGGTGACCAGGCTGTAAGTCAGGGTGACCAGGCAGTAAGTCAGGGTGACCAGGCTGTAAGACAGGGGGAACCAGGCGGTAAGTCAGGGGGAACCAGGCGGTAAGTCAGGGGGAACCAGGCGGTAAGTAAGGGGGATCCAGGCGGTAAGTCAGGGGGAACCAGGCGGTAAGTCAGGGGGAACCAGGCGGTAAGTAAGGGGGATCCAGGCGGTAAGTCAGGGGGATCCAGGCGGTAATTCAGGGGGAACCAGGCGGTAAGTCAGGGTGACCAGGCAGTAAGTCAGAGTGACCAGGCTGTAAGTCAGGGTGACCAGGCTGTAAGTCAGGGGGAACCAGGCGGTAAGTCAGGGGGATCCAGGCGGTAAGTCAGGGGGATCCAGGCGGTAATTCAGGGGGAACCAGGCGGTAAGTCAGGGTGACCAGGCAGTAAGTCAGGGTGACCAGGCAGTAAGTCAGGGGGAACCAGGCGGTTAGTCAGGAGGACCAGGCGGTAAGTCAGGGGGATCCAGGCTGTAAGTCAGGGGGAACCAGGCGGTAAGTCAGGGTGACCAGGCTGTAAGTCAGGGTTACCAGGCTGTAAGTCAGGGGGAACCAGGCTTTAAGTCAGGGGGAACCAGGCGGTTAGTCAGGAGGACCAGGCGGTAAGTCAGGGTGACCAGGAAGTAAGTCAGTGGGCCCAGAAAGTAAGTCAGGATGACCAGGGCCTGTTAAAAGCCCTGGATCACAAAGGGGACTCAAACCACTGTTGCTATACCATACCAGAGTGTTTACTTTGACGGAGGACGTTGTTAATCCCTGTTCCCTAAGTTGTTACACACTAACTGTTCAGAGTATTTGTTTGGGTATAGGGTTCAACACCCGTCCCACCAAAGCCAACTCCACCCCACCGTCTATTTGAAGCACACATGTACTAGTCATGTTAACGGTTAACAGATAAAACATAACTTTGTAACTTAGACTTCTGATTTTGTCTTGGCTGACAAAAGCACGTTGTTTCCCGACTTACTTCTAATAATTTAAAACAAAGTTAGGTACACCCACCCCTATTTTCCAAGAAGCTGTGTCTGCGCATGTCTCGTCTCCATCTGTTTGTTTGTTTTGGGAGTTCCAAAGCCCCTGCAGTTTGTAAAAAACGTCGAATAATACGAAGACTTATCTGGCCGTGCAATTGGTTTTGACTTTCACACAGACGTATTTTATACATATTACACCCTGGGCTAGGTTATGCCCTATAACAATATGTGACACATATACGCCAGATTGGCAATGGAATGCAACTGCTACCACCGACCTAACTCCTTATGTGACTTTTCCGGTGAATCTCGGTGAAACCAACATTCTAATGATAGAATAATCTGAAATGAAAAGATGATATTAAATGATGTAATCCACTGATCCACTTTCTTGCCAATGTACCAATGGAAACACGTTGGTTATCGCTGATTGAGTTGTGTGTAGGCTCAACCGCCAGGTCACTATCGAACGGCGAATTGTAGTACTTAAAGTCCCAAACTCGGTTTTCTTCAGACGAAATTGATCTTGAAATGAAAACAAATAACTGTTGATTTCACTCCATACTTTGTTTTCATGGACGTCAGATTTCAAGTTTAATATAACGCACGCCGTCAGCGAATCCTATCGGGTTTGTTGTGGTAGCGGTCGCCGATTCTCATTAGCTGTAGTTTCACTGATGCAATGCACTAATTTACATTTACATGCTCTTGGGTTTCACCAAAGTTGAAAACGTCTGAGACTTGCATCACTTCGGGCCTTCCGCCCACACGAAGCTGACAGGGCGCGTTACCTCACTCACTATTGACGTTAAGTTTAATGATCAACAAAGCTGCATTTTTACAGGATTTCCACAACCCCACCCTAACAACACTGCCACGGCAGTCCTCTCTGTAACATTGAAGTCATCGGGCGTTACATCCTCTACAGAAGTCACTGCTCCCCTAATGTCGGCTTCAACGTCATCGTCAACGTCGGCTTCAACGTCGGCCTCAACGTCGGCGTCAACGTCATCTTCAACGTTGGTTTCAACGTCATCTTCAACATCGGCTTCAACGTCATCTTCAACGCCGGCTTCCACGTCATCTTCAACGTCGGCCTCAACGCCAACGCCTACACCGGTCGCAAAGGAAGGTAAGATTTGAATCTAGCTAACGTTCTGTTCTGAAAATATCGCGACGGCTGATGTCTTAAACGGCTGTTGGTATCCCGCAAAGAGATGTGCAGAGTGACATTCCTTAACATACCGTTTTCAAGTTTTAAAAAAATCAGTAATGGTACTCTCGTGTCACTGGATTTTGTGGCTCATCGATCAGTTCATTGTCTGGTTTGTTTACAGGTTGACGTCACATGGCAGGAGTACCGTTGTGTTGCGTCAGACAATAAATACTTACTGTTTTATGCAAATTGTATGAATGGCTGGTGCTACCGGTAGGACAGGACATGCCTACCCTTTCCGCGAACACCTGGTGTCATCACTGAGTTTCAGTGGTCTATTCATTTAATATCCACAGCTGTTTGCCGTTTTCGCCAAAAGGAAACTGTTTCGACAGAAAATCCAGACTGGTCATTCTTTTGCATTGACAGTTTACTTATTATTAAACGCGAAAAGCGACAATCGCTGTGCGTTCGAATCCGAGAATCGGATTGCTGTTTATTCTTAGTTTGATGTCTCCATAATCGTTCATGGATTTCACGAAATGCTAAGCACATAAGACCTGTATGACTTCTGGTTTTCCTCCTACATAAGATATAACTCAAACAATGATCATGACCTTAACACATAACTTTGGACACATAAATAGGTTGCTCGTTACTTTATTGTGAAACAATAGGCAGGTAGAATGTAATATTTATTCTTCATTTCGATTTCTAATCCACTGCTACCTCAAATTGCAATTGTACTAAAGGTGAGGTGAGGTGAAATGGGGTTTAACGTCGCGTCCAAGATTATTGCACTTATATAGCGACGTGCATGTACGTGTGTGTGTTTGTGTGACTGCTTGTGCTAGTCCGGACTGATGCCGATTTATAGTGCTAGCTCACTGAGATACCATGCTGCAGTTTAACATGAATACTCCACTCAGACACAGTATACTGACTCCGAGCCGTCCAGTCCTTTTTTTAACCCCTTAATACCGAGCGCCAGACAGGGTAACAACAAGTACCATCTTTTAACGTCTTTTGGTATGACGCGGCCGGGGATCGAACCCCGGACCTTCCCCTCTCCGTGCGGACGCTCTACCACTAGACCACGGAGGCGGTTAGCAATTGTACTACAGAAAACAATAATGTAAACGCGTATTTGTTGCTTTTAGAAAATAAATACCTGGTTTTTTGGGTTGGTTTTTTTTGTCCCACTCGGCCATATTCCGGCTATATGACAGCGGCCTGTGATTAATGGAGTCGGGGCCAGAACCGTATGCAGCATGCAAAAAACGTACAGTGCCGAGCAAAAGAAGCATACACCCATGTTTGTTGTTGGCTAAAAACAAAATAATGAACAAAGAAATGGTAATTTGATGGTGATGTATTTTGTACGCGTACCATACTTGTCTTTTGCATTATTTCGGCGACTGTTTTCAGCCATGAAACGGTTTGATAACATTTGTAATCTTTCGGGTAATTCCAATTTTCAAGTGTATACTTTCAATTGCCCGGCAGTTAATATCTTTATACAGGGAATTTTAGGGTCGTTCGCTGATGAAATCTATTATGCAGCCAAATAAAATTATTTAGTGATGCGTTTACATCTGAACGTATCATATACTCAACAATTTTAAAGATTCTTCAGTGTAGACATTCTGACGAAATAAATGTTTTGACCAAAGTATTTTGTTTTCACGAAGGACTGAAATGTCAAGTCTGCGGGGACTTGAACGCGAAGATTCCGTGCAACCCGAGGGATATGTTTGTACCAAAGGAACAACTGTGTCCTGCAGGTCAATTCTGTATGGTTGATGTTCTACATGACGTGAATGGCGCTCAGACGACGTATAAAAGGTAACACTTCATAAATCATCAGTGTTCGTTAAAGAACCTACTTGTCTTTTTGGCCAGTCGCCATAAATTTTACGTCACTTGCTTGTCACGTCACAGTTGACCCTCTTTGCAGTCGAGTTACCACAAGAAGTAACGTGGATCACAAGATTGAAGGGAAAACCCAGACTTGCTCTGATTATGATCTTGGTTATGTCAGAAGTATTTTTGTAATTGCTCGTGTGTTTCACAAGATTGTTATACGTCAATGACCCGCATCACTTCAGACTTTCCTCACACATCACTCTGAGAGGTCATGGTACCGTTAACATACTGCTCAGAGCAGCAACAGCAGCATTATTTGGTAGATGGTTAAAATCGATGATACCCTGTCAAGTAAGCAACAATTACTTATATTTGTTTTGACAGGTGCGTGAACCAGAGGACCTGCTCCAGACAATGGTACCACCAGACTTCGGACGAGGGGAGATGCATGCAGAAACAAACTGGAAGTGTAGCCAGCATTGACTGCCATTATTGCTGTACCACTCCTGGCTGTAACACTTTTCCAAGACCTTCTATCTCCAGTCTTTATAAGCCAAAATGAAGAGCATGTCCGCCTGAAGGGATTGGGTGGTTCTTTCACTGATATATTGATCAATGTACTTCCTTTACACACCTCAACACCTGTCAAGAACACTCCGAAAATTCCAATTAACTTTATTTATAAATTACATTCCAAGACTTTCCAAAGTATCCTAACCTTGAATAATCCCATAAAAATATTTATCTAACCTAAAGGTGATTCCTATCTGAAATACGTCATTGATGTCAGTCAACCCGTTGGGTTGTCAGCGGATCCTTACAAAAGGAAAGATAGAAATGGATATGTTTTCCCCAGTAGAAAAATGCACCATTTAAAATTCGCTTTAGATGATGACCAAATGCATCCAAATCAAGGCAACGAGACAGCCAAGTAAACAGACATAGCTAGCATCAAACTATGTACAGTAATTCGCTTTGAATCACCCACAATCTCTTAAATTCACTGAACAATTTCCTATGTCCCTAATGTCTCCTTCGAGAATAAGCTGGAATATACAACCGTAACCTGTATATTTCGTTTTACCAGGTGTTACCAAATGTACGTGAATACCGTTCTGAGTGGAATGCAAATAAAATGTTTGCTTTCATTATCCACTTATGTGTGTATATTTTCACAACAATGATACACTCAATGTGCACATTAACATCATCAAGGACATATAATTAAATTGTCGTTGTGTTCATTGCAATTCCTGCATTCTGATTAGCTGAATTGGTCACGTGTTATTTCATTTCCCAAAGAATGTAAAACATTCAGTCACGCCCACCGAAGCGGACTAGTCTAATTACAACAGAATGTCGAGGAATGCCAATATCACAGTCGAGGGAATTTTCTTTCTGCTCACACTGCAAACACGAAAACGTCGTTTTTTCCGTATATGGTCATTGGACGGAAAAAACGACTTAAAATTCATTAAAATTGATTAATTGGTTAGCGTCTAGAAAGTGTCCGGAAAAGCGTCGAGTTTTTCAAGCGTAAAATGGACGGAAAAACGATGCTTTTTTCTCCGCCTTGTACAACTGTTAACGGCCAATCAGATGGCGCTGGTCCCCCGACGCACGTGATGCCCAAGGGTTCCTTTCGGAAGCATTAGGTTTCGTATTTCTGGCATGCCTTGCTCTAGTATCTGTCGCGTGCAGTGCAGCGAGGTTTGCTGATTAGTCAGTTTTAGGATATGTAACATATTAATGGAATTCAGACACGCGGCAAGAAGTCAAACCAAACTATGTTACCAAGTTTATTGAGATAACATATCTCTCCGCTATGCACATTTTCCTCTATCGGATAATGGGTTGTGTTTCATTTGGTTATAACAGTAACTAATTTTGCGTTGTGAAGTTTTCACGATATACGGCTTTTCCATAGGACGAGAGGTCGGTCACAGGACGTGTTTCACGTGACTGTATTCTTGAAATGAAGTAAACACTGACTTCTTCTACATTCCTGGGGAAAGCCCTGGGAAATCCATAGTACGAATTCATACAGAAGCGTTTTTCTCATCATTTAGAGCCTTTAATTTTGAACGTAGCGTCTTAGCATGCTCTGGGAGACATAGAGTTTGGTTTCATGCCCGTTCAAGGACACCCTCGCTACAACCCATCCTAGAGAAAAAAAAACTACTATCGTAGTGACAATCTACAGCAATCTATGAATTTACCTTAGTATCTATTTGACACATCTTTACGATCACCTTTCAACGATCGGCCAATTGATCAGTGATGACAAAGGCTTGAAATCGCCACAGGTTAATTAACAACTTCGGAAATATCTCCCGTCATGTTTATCGTGTCCGCCATTTTGACGTCTTGTACTTGATGTAAATGTATTACGACGCTCTGTCATTGTGATTGACTTACTGAGGTAGTTCTTAACAAACTTTCTCATCTTAGGAGGTTATTTTTGGGAAAACATTTCTTGTAAACAAACTAAAACAGATGTTCCTCGCTTTTGGAGGAACTATTTTATTCCGGAATGGCCTAAAGCTAATAATAAGTCAAGGCACCATCCGTTTATATGATCTGTTATTCTATGTGTTTAACGAATATGGTTTTGGGCGTTAATAAAATACACTGACGCAAGTATATTCTAATCAAATCAATTGGATAACTGAATATGCTTTATTTTACATTTTACATAACATCACTACACAAAATTTGGACAGTTGCAGTAACACACTACGGTGATCGCATTAAACACCACTTTGAACAGTATTTCAGTTGTATCACGGTGTATCAGACTGATGTGGGATAAAAATCCGAAGTGGTTCAGGCCATCCTACGGGTGTTCGCGAAAAGGTGAGCGTATACTGTCACACAGGTGGCACCCGTCACAAACACATGCAAGGACAAGTCAACTGTTCACCTGAACAAAGCACGGAAACACACAATGATGCCCGTCCTCACTATTACCGAGCATGTAAATTATATTGTCCGTCAAAAACATGGACGAGTATAAACAATATGTTCCTACAGGGAATACATGTCATACATTTGACAAAATGTATTGACTCAGAGCATTATTGTTAATCACAGCGTATAGACTCGGTATGCAGATGATCAACCATCCCATTATTGATAATCCTTCTTGAAGAGCTATGAAATCAGAAGGTGCTATAGCGCATTTTTACACTTTATCTTTTAATTGGCATGTTAGACTTCTATTTCATAACTCAGTTTTATTTGCACGGATCACTATGGAATCTTGGAAAGGACATTGTCGCGTTGACGTATTGTCGCATTGACGCCCTTACAAAAACAAGCAAAACGTGTCAAAATTAACCAAAGCGCGACAATTCGACAACGCGACATTTTGGCCATTTGTCGCATTGTCGCGTTATCGCTCTTTGACTAATCTTTTTCTATATTTTACACAAGGCCGACGATGCCGTAACGCGACATTTTCAATGTCAAAGTGTGTCTCGTTGTCGCATTGTCGCCCCACAAATGTGTATAAAAGGCGTAAAGTTCAGTTAATGTTACAGTTAGGGAGCGGTAACCAAGTTATATCTGTCGTAGAAGTTCAACCTGATATATGTACGTCTTGAACTGAAAACACAAGTCCGTAACGTTTTATTGTGAGCTCTTCTCTAAAAGTGCTTAGTGTTCAACTCCCAGTTCCAAACACGCTGTAAACATCAACAATCCACATTCCTATAGTGCAGTGATCGTCCGGAAGATCTTACTCGTGACCGTATAAGACAACCGACGAGTGCACGCCTGACCTGTGACCTCTTTACACACACACACACACACACACACACACATTACTTTAAAGTTAAATCATGTAACTAAATAGTAAATTAGAAGGATTAAATATATACACTTCCGACATTTATCGTATTTCTGTTCGTTTGGAGAGAGAAGTAGTGACAGTAGTGACTGGTATCTGATGGGTGCAAACAGGTGTCGAGTCGCTGTCTCAGATGGTTCTGATTTCGTAGCTCTAAAGATCACGACGGCGATACAGACCGTGAAGTAGTTTGTCTCTAGTGAACAAAGAACAAAGGCAGTTATTTCTAGTTTCTTACTGGCTCTCGGGGATACATTTAATATAACAATTAATGTGTGTGTGTGTGTGTGTGTGTGTGTGTGTGTGTGTGTGTGTGTGTGTGTGTGTGTTGGCGAATGATGAAAACCAACACGGCCACCAGACACTAAATTTACGTCACAATCATTCTGTCGTCTTTCTTTTGTCATCTGAAATAACATCCCCTCGTGCACTTGTGCTCCCTACTCAAGATACAAAACACACCCTGTTTACACACGTACAAGATATATATTACGCTAGGGAGATATATGATTATACGTTGATACGTCTAACTGCTAGGGCTGGTATGCAATGCCATATTTCTTATCGCCAGGGATCACAGGTGTGATACCAATCTCCCTCAAGGAGACGTCTGATTAAACTCTTTGCTTCGTCAATGCTTCTGGTAACTGGTACCACTAGCAACGATACAATGGCGTACAAAGACTTACAATGAGTCAAGCATTCGTCACTCGATTTCCAGCACGATTGATTGTTTGATTGACAGAATGTTTGTGTTATTTGATTGGTTGATTGATTGAGTTGTTTGATTGAGTTGTTTTATTAAATTGTTTGATTGAGTTGTTTTATTAAGTTGTTTGATTGAGTTGTTTTATTAATTGATTTACTTGTTATATTGATTTATATGTATTATATTATGAAGTTGATAGATTGTTTTATTGATTGTTATTATGAGTGAATGAGTGAGTGAGTGAGTGAGTGAGTGAGTGAGTGAGTGAGTGCCACTGGTATGTCCGGATCTGGGTACGGGTCACCGGCTCAGCGTCACCGATCTAGATATATCTATGCAGGAATAGGTCATCCATGCGGATAGCGTAATCTCGAGGTGGAATCATTATACTATTTCACATAACCGTTAACGTACTTCTTGAATGTTGTCACGCCATTCATTCAGACAAATCTCGAAGATATGTTAATATTTATGCGAGGACAACGGATTGGAGGTCAATGGATCAGATAAAAGCAGGACTGCTGGAATCGGTTGAGGTCAACTTCCCATGACATAAACCCCTACTTGACAACCGCTTTAAGAAAGTGCCGCCATTCATGTACACTGTGGATGAATGAACGACCTAGCGAAGCCAGTAGCGCTGCCTAGTGAGATATAATGGAAGAAGGCCAACCGAGAGTTGAATCTTGACATACTCCGGTGCCATCTGCAGAACCTGAGAGTGGGGGGAGAGATGATGGGTTTAACAACAAGTAAGGTCATCTTGTGCGGGACGGTTTTCGTAGATGGATTAGCATATGAACTATGATTCTCTTTAGGTAGAAAATAAAGATCCACGATGTTCGACCTGGTAGAAGTGTGTAATCAAACCGCACAGCATTGGTCTTTGATTGACTGTGGCGCCAAACAAACTCATTCATGTACTTGATCTGAATGTTCATCTTAATTGTTATGGATAATCACGGAGCCGTGATCCAGAGAACAGGGTGTCATTAGATAAAAATGAAGTAATAATAGGATTACCAGAAAAAACGGGGTATAACACCTAAGCCAATAGGCTTCGCTCAGGAACACCAGAGTAAGTCAGTACACGATTGAAAACTGCCCCATAAGTATGTATGACAGGCTAGTCGGGTATTGCTAACTGTATATGTGAAAACAAAGTTATTAAAATGAATAGCAAAACTGATTAAAGTACCCAATAAACGTGTATAAGTATTATATCGTCACTGCAAAAAAAATGAGTGTTTGTATTTTGTATTAACATTCAAATACGTGATATCTGTATTAGCGATATTGTCTACGTTCCACCGGTGAGTAAGCGTTAGGCTTGCTATCTCGTAGTAAAAATGTTGCAAGAACTTATATTTCTGAAGACATCACGATACAGTATTTACGATGCATCACGTCTGCACTAGCGCTTGATAAGAAGCTTGTGTTTGGGTATTTCAGTAGTTTAAATTGCTGCTCTTGATATTGTTGATTAAACTTTGATACTATGAACAATATAAGGTTATATGAGAGTATGACTTTAGAACGGTAACATGCGTTAATGTATATCTGGTATATATATAGGATGACATAAATAGAACAATGTGTAGTACGTCCAGATTAGTGTATAGGCAACATTTGATAATTAAATTCAACACCTCTCCTTTTAAGAATACAATGTATAATTCTGGTGCACTTCCATTTGACTATATAGCATACAATAAGCTTTCGGGTCCCGCTTGGATCGGTTTGGGTGGCAGCTTTGATATCCATAGAATAGGTTAATCTCGGAATCTCCCATATAACTGGGTCTCCTCTTCAATTTAAATCGAGTAACTTGTTTCTTTCAAAACTATACAGTTTTAGAGACAAGCATTAGTCTCAATGGACATCACCAGTTTGGAATTTAAAACTAATCTGTTTACAGTAACAGGACACTGCTTAAGTGCCATGTACAAATGAGAAAGTGGAATCCCGTCAATTAGGCGGAAAAACCTTAAAACTATTAATAAACATTATAATAAGCAATATCGGAAAAATTTATATGCATATAATATCTGGCAATATACACCAAGATCACCTTTTACAAAAATAAGTTTTAAAAGCCGGTTGATATTCGTTTGCGTATTTGACGATTATATAACTTTCAAAAGTATAAATCCCTTTCCTATACTCAGACGTTCCTGAGCCTTGCGCTTTCCTAATTATTTTGACTAAAATTATTACCGTTATCATTGTATTAGTTAATGGGAAATGCGTGCCGATCAAGTACGTGCCATAAATTAAAGCGACATTATACGATTCCGAACTTATCACGAGACTGTGTTTATGAATCATTGTCAAATAGTGGTGACATAGTGGAAACAATACGCGAAGTCGCGCATCCACAGAACGGACAATTTGGACAAGGCATTAAGCAATCCCCGGCCGCATGCGCAGAACGATTGATTTCAGTACTTCCGCTAAGCGCTTAGAGTACAGCGTCAAACTCGGGCCTGTAATCTAACACGCGAGAACTGACCAATGAAATCTGAGAAGTAGGAATACCGGTAGAGGCTGTTGCTTGATTGACGATGTCGATCAAGAAAGGGAGGAGCTTGATGATATCGTTCTCTCCATGTAAATTCCGATGTCAAATAACGACGTTAATTGGACGGAAAAACGATGGTTTGAAAGCGTCCAAATAACGTCGTTTTTCCGTCCAATGACCATATACGGAAAAAACGACGTTTTTGTGTTTGCAATGGAACAGAGCTCCATGTTTTTCGTGGAAGAGTTAATGCCCTTTACAACAGGAATAACATATTTGCAAATCACGTCATCCCATTCTTTCATCAGCACCAGGATACACAGCAAAAAAAGTGTAGGTTTCCGTCTTCCGGAAACCTTCCGGATACCTACCCATTTTGGATGCATTTTGTTCACTTAAGTGTGAAACACATAAAAAAATTAACTTGAAAATACCAAGCAATTTGAAGGTTGTTAAAGGCATCTGGAAGGTTTCCGGAAGGTTTCCGGAAGGTATCCGGATGCAAATTTTCTTCATGACTTGCTTCTGGTAAATAATGTTAGCCTGTACATTACAGGTAGCTGTTGTAATATTCTGTGTTATTTTAGTTGTAAATATCCTCCTCAAACTGAGATATGTGGGCATGCATTGTTCACAAGTTGTTTTGCGACATGGTTCCAATGTGTGAAGCTTATTGCTGGTGTCCCCCACCATGATATTGTTGCAATAATGCTAAAAGTGGCAAAACAGCATTCTCACTCAGAAAAAAATGGAAAGTCATTGGCTATGTGCTTTGGCATTTGGCCCTAGTGAGATAAACAGATTAGTTTGGAACGGTATCAGTACTTATATCGGGACAGTGTAGTTTCATGGGAATATAAAACAGAATACAATTGTCCCAAATTGGTGCATAAGACTAATGGCATCCATAGAAAACACCTAAATAAAGTACAGAAAAAATATCAATGTCATTTGTCTACTAAGGTGGAACTACAACTGTTGTTAAGTGAGCTGTATTTATAGTAGGAACCATTCAGGGCATTAGTACATTTTATATTTGTTTAGCACCTATGTTATGGCTGATCAGTATTATATTTCTTTATGCTAATGAAGCAAAACAAATCATGTTTTTGGAAAAAAAATCTTATTTATTGATTATATGGCATTTCATTGGTACATATCACAAATTAAAATTTGATCAAGCAAGAAGAGGAACTAGCATAAAGTAACCAGTGGTGTTTGCAAGGCCTTACAGAACAGACGCTTCAATGCCATTTTCTAAATAAACAAATTAGTCAAATCTCAGAAGAATTTTATTGAAGAAGAATATCTTAAGTCAATTATGTTTCTGCAGTAAACCACAAAAGTCATTCAGATTTGTATAGTCAGCATCGGTGTACACAAACTGGACATAGTCACAGTGCTTTGGCATGAATTCATTCAGACTTCATTAGTGTCATAATAAAACCACCTACAGTAACACTGGTGTGGCATTATTCATTCAGAATCATCACTTTCTGAGGTGAATCTGTTGGTTGTTCTCAGGAGTACTGTTCATCATCCGGCGAGTCCCTTGTCTGAATTGTGTGAGCAAGATCTTCTTAAATGTAGCTGGTGTCAGATTGTGAAATCCAGGTACCTGAAACATTTCATAACATCTTTAGAAACTTGTTAGTCAAAAGTTATGAAACACACACATATTTACAAATGTTTAAAGTTGTTTTCTCGAACAGTGAGGTATTGACAATTTATCTTGCAACTGATATTTAACCAATCTTTGAACATGTAAATAAGCCATTGCAAACAGAAAAGTGTTCAGAAAATACAAAAATGTATCTGGTCTTCTAAAACAATACCACAAGGTTCACTTGAATTTTGCTTGAATGTTAGCATTACATCAAAATGTAAGGAAGGGTAAACAAGACTATGCAAAACTAAGTTACATAGGTTCTTATACATAAATACATAAATGCAACTATTCATAATTATCAAAACACATGTCATGTAAGTGATCTCAAAATACAACATAATGAGCGAGTGAGTTGGTATAGTTTCATGCAGCTTGTTAGCAATATTCCAGCTATGGGCTTCACACATTGTACCCATGTGGTGAATTGAACCCGGGTTTCAGAGACTGTTTCACCCACTAGGCTACCCTTGCACACCAAATACAAAAGAAAGTATATTAGGAATTCAGACAATAGATATTCTCACCAAATTCATTAATTCATTAATGGAAGCTATATTGAAATTCAAATTTTGACAAATTAGGATGACACTGTAGAAGCATTTATCTAAGTTATTATGGATATTTAATATCTACCGTTAATTGGTAGTCCATCATAGACAGTGATAAGAAATTCAACTGAAAAGTACAACCTGAACCATCAACTAAAAACTATGTATATTACATTAAAGGGGCCGGTCATGTATTACCGGTATGCTCTCGTTCATTTTTTGACACAACCCTCCCTGAAAGAAAATGCAAAGCACTTTATATTTAATTGTCCATTTTGTCAAAAGCCTCCCCTAGAGACTCTCACATTTTGGGGTGACCCTCCCTGTTTGTTCTGATCTGAATTCAAATATTCATGACTCATTATCATATTTTATCATTTATCCTATCTTTTTTGAAAATTAACTAAATGAAGATTAACAATAACATGCAAATCTGCCAAAATATTGGCCTGGCAAAGTTTAAATTAACCATAATTACTGTTATAAAGTTTTGGATCCATCATCTGTTTCTAAATACAGTGAAACCCAACTTTGACTTGTGTGGCATTGTTGCATCATCTACCCAATGTTCTTTATGCATTGATATGCATCTGCACAGAGTGGCCAAAGTCTGTGTCTGACACATAGTGTGCTACAAGGGAGACATCAGTTAGTGTCTAGCCAAACTGTCTGATAATCTCAAGGGCTGCCTTGGTAGCATCAAGGGATGTAGCTAATCCTAAATAAACATAAAACAAGTGACATCATCTCTTCTACAGAACACATGATCAAAGCCTGCCCCACCTTTGATGTTTATTACCTTGCTACTCTAAAAACAGCTAATTAGCAAAATGAACTCAATGTCAACTCATTGTGGACTAGGGATTAACAGGGCAATTAGTGTCGGGTGGGTATTAGTACTTGCAATTGTCTGTTAATTACTTAATTGAGTAGTGACGGCTTAGTCAGTTGTGCCTGTACAACCACGCTGACTGCTATTCAACTTATCGAGTCAGTTTACTATGTAACATGCTTCTTGGGACCAAGGAAATGTATCTTGCTGGATAACAGTTTTTTCTAATTTATCAGAGATCAGAAATAACAATAATGACGTTTTTGACGTGCATTTCTTTGTTGTGTTTACTAGGATGATTAGTAGTGATGGTGTTTGAATTATTAGACACTATTTATTCCAAAAGAGGAATAGGGTTGGTGAAGTGGCAAAGCTTATTTGAACAACATATACATTGAATAAACAGAAACCGTACAAAAAACAGATTAACTGTATCTACAGTTGAAACTATCATGATGCAAATTTTCACTGAATCAAAGTCATATCTTTTCAAGACTCAGATCAGGTTGTAGTGATTGAAGGTCACATAAAACTTGCTAATTTCAAATCACTCATCACACACTTATGATTTGGTTTGTTGTTTTATGCCGCACTCAAGCAATATTCCGGCTATATGTAAATAATCGAGTCTGGACCAGACAGTCCAGTGATTGACATCATGAGCATCGACCCACACAATTGGGATCAATGACATGCATCAACCAAGTCACCGAGCCTGATCGCCACCTGATGGCGTTAGTCAACTCTTTAGACAAGCATTGTCGCCCGTTACAGAAAGTATTGGGTTACTTTATATTTGTGTGTCCCAATTACGCCATTATTAGAAATAAAATGAATTATACACATGAATATGATATAAAAATGGCAAATATGGTTGACAATATGAGCATTGATCTAAGCATTTGGAGCAGAATTGTGAATATTCACCTAATGAAGGAGTAAGTACACACTCCGAAATGTTGTGATCATCATAATAAATAGGTTCACATTAATACATTCTCCACCTTAGTCCTTATGTGTATAACTTGTAAATAACTTTCATAGACTTCAGGAGTCTATCTGTGATATATGTGTGCACTTAAATAAATCACTGCATCCTTACCCGAGGCAGGAATAGATAATAGGCAGGAACAGAAAAAAAATCGTCAAAGTTATAGCCAAATACAGGTATCTGAAGATTTTCAGTTGTGGCAACACTTTCAGTGAAACCCATACAGTATTTGATTTGTAGTAGTTAACGGTTCTGGTATTTTCTGTCTGTAACTGTAAAGAAGTTCCGAAATTGTAGCGAGCAACTGCCCAGACATAAGGAGGAACAAGATGACATAGATATTAACCCATTTGTAAACTGTACAGCCTGAAGTATGTTTGTTGCCACATATCAATAAAATAGTTCCATATTGGCGGATTTATTTGTTGTAATGTAAGGGCAGAAATAGCATCAGTTATTACTGACAAATATCCCTTGTAAAACCTTTCAACATGTTCAAATGACACATCGAAAGGCCATTGTGAAAAATAGTAATCTGACAGCACCATGATAGGATTCTTAAATACAGTTTCAGCTTGACATTGAGTACTTTAAACTTTAAAGTGAAAAATACATTCACAACAAGTGAGCTGTGTCTGCCAATCAGAGTCGGTGAGTAAATTGGAGTAGGGTACTAATTTCGAAGGTAAACTTGTCTCAATGTTTAACAACTACATGTATTTGTGTTTGTATAAGACGATGTGTGTTTAATTCCATATATTTTACTTCAAAGCATGTTATCACAATAAATTGAGTCGGTTTAGGATAAGTTGGAGTAGAGGCTAATTTCTAATGTAAACTTGTTTTAACATTTCACAATTATTGGTCTTTGCAAATTATCAATCCAAGTTTAATTTCATTTATTTTACCAAGGTAAAACAAAAATAAGGTATCATTTTCGTCAAGTAATAATCGCCGTTTTCGCTTTCGGCGAGTATTTCGCCAGTCAGTGCCGTTTCAGCTATAACCTGCTTATTGCACATTATAAGTTTCAATTTATATTTAAAATCATTTTAACCACTGAATAAGTAAAAAATGAAATAAAAGCATATAGAAAATAAACAAGCACTTGTTATAAAATGTGCATCCGCAGGAAATATTTATAAGATAATCCTGCATGTAGCTGTGGCCATCACACTGAAGATGCACTTCACTTCTTTCTCATATGCCCAAATTACAATAATTTAAGACAGAATATGTACTATGTTTAGGGATATGATCTAAATTCAATTCTTAAATCAGTACAAGACTACATTTAGCTATCCAATAGGTTTTGTGATTTTACATAGCATCTTAAATTTATAATACTATTCCTTGCCGTATATTGCAGTACACTGTTACTACTAAAAATGCAACCTGACAGCGCCGACAACATAGTTTCTATAATAAGAACATGTATATAATTGTATTCCTTGACTGTACTTTTGTCATATCATATTGTATTCTAATTCTGGAGAGGTATTCAAATAAGTTTTTGCTTGTTTACCCATCCAGTTCACAAGTTGTGAAATAAATATGTTTAAAACAATATTTAGTAAACAAATAATTAAAACTTATGCAACAACATAGCGTGTGGAGACGATAGACCACTGAAAAGAGCATATATATGCACATCCAATGACCCCTGACATCACAAGGCATTGTTTTGCCAGTGTGTCAGGCAACAGAATACTACGAATTACACCACAGGGTACTGTGACCTGTTTGAAAAGTTAGGTACTGTATTCTAAAGGTAGGCCCAAAATTCTAGACAATCCAGTGATTGATATTGTGAACATCAATCCACACTGTTAGATGGTTACTGTCAGATGCCATGAACCAGGTCACCGAGCCTGATCACGTGATCTATTAGGTTATCTCTTATGGGTGAGGCTAAAACGGCACCTCGGCAAAAAGGTTACTGATTTCTCGGACGAAAACAGCACCTTGTTTTGGCAAAAAGGGCTACTAATTGTTGTCTGTTATCTGGAGAGACATGTTGATTCCTGGCCGAAAGATATATAAATGAAATTTCTATAAAATTACTTTTTATTTCCTACTTACTAAAATAAATATGACATATATAGTATACCTGTTGTCCAGTTTCTTGACATTTTCGCCAGACTCAGACATATTCCTTACCTGAATCAGTGACCATATAACAGTCTATGTATTATGGTCTCTGTCTGAATTTCTCAGTTATTTGTGTTTACAAGTGACCATGCAAGTTTAATTTCATGTATTCGGGCATATTCAGACCCAAGGTAAAAAAAATAACAAGGTGCTGTTTTCACCAGGCAATAGTAGGCAAGGTGCTATTTCCCTTTATAGTATAACCCTCTCTTACAACTAGCATAGGTTGATGGGGACCAATTCCAACCCGGAATCCCCACATGAGTGGGTATGGTTTTACGCTGTTTTTAGCAATACCACAGCAAGGGACACCTGACATAGACTTCACACATTGTACCCATGACAAGAATTGAACCTTTGTCTTCAGCACTTCAACCACTAGGCTACCCCACCGCCAAAATTCCCAACATGATAAAGTTGTCATCACGGTATTCTTCAACAAGTTCAAGTGAAAATATCCATACCTTTCAAATGTCTTATCTTCCACTTCACAATGTTCACTGTTGCAAAACTCCTGTCATGTAATTTGTTCTTGATTCTTCACACCTGCAAAAGTAAGTTTAGTCGGTACGGGATGAACTAATAAAATGAGACACTTTAGAGTATCTAGATAAAGGAATATAAGTAAGCAAACATATTTCTACATCATATACATTAGCAAGGATTAACATAAGTTAGGTAGATTGCTTATCCTACAAAAATTAAATCACACATTTACTAACATATATAAAGAGAATAAGTGGCTTACAGAAGATAAATAACTTTAATACGTGATCAATATTATGAACATATTCCTTACCTGATTCAGAGACCATATAACAGTCTATGGTCTATTATGGTCTCTGTCTGAATATGTCACGTCTTCAGCTCCCTGCAATCGAGGTTGTGAAACATTTCTGCTGTAGGAATATTACATCCGCTGGGATATCCCTTGTCACACTGCCTGGCATGGTAGGCAAACGCATATTCCATACACCACATAGATATACTTCCTAATACACACTGTCGAAATCCCCGCGGCTCCCAATATGGCCTGCATGAACTGTAATCGGCCAACCTCGTCTCTTTCCGTAACTGCTGCAGAAATGACCGCTCGTCATTCGTGACCAACTCGTGTTATTCCGGGACAAGCAAGTCTACCCATAATTCCCTGTATGACCGAGGGCGCCATTTTGGAACACAAATGTAAACAAACACTCAAACCACGTGTAATCGATGTACACCGTGATGCTTGATTGCGATATGCTTACCTCGTGTATCAATACATTGTTCTCAATCACCTCTAACACGGAAATCCCGGTCGAAATCCACCTGAGCCATCCACAACGAGGACGTCAAGTATTTCGAAAACTCGATTGGCAGCCGAAGGAAGCTGGAAGGAAGAGCAGCTTGCGGATGCCAGGTACGTAGCAGGGCTTCGAGACATAATGTTCCATGATTTCTATACAGAGATCTTATGGAATGGATTGATTTAGATATTTTCCTGATCTCCATGTCACTACTGTAAACGTCAAGGGCCTTTTAGTTTTGTTTTCGGAAACCCTTTGTTATTATTATGATCAAGTGTTTGTTGTGACATGGTATTTCTATTTGGGCTTGCATAAGAGCTACAGGTGACTTTTAACCCTCATGGTGCCTGGACGTGTCAGCCTGCAAACCGCTCAGTGCCGCACTGTGCTTACGTCGCGGTTACAAAAACGTATACATTGTATCAAAAGTGTTGCAACGTCTTTATTTCTTCACACAGTGTAACCAAATTGTATAACATGCAACTCGAGTTGATTGTCTTTCCAACAGTATCTAAAGTCACCAAATCCCTAAGATCTATGCACTGGCCAGCCATCGATAAAAGTGCTGGTACTATAAGTTTCCTACTTTTCAACATTAATCGTAATATGGACGCACCCGAATACGGCAAGCAAAGTCAAGTAAGCGCCCTTGTTTGAAATCTAAATGACCAATAATTCATATCATTGGCAAGTACATGTCCTAACAGTGATAGACATATGATATTTATGTTGAAGTACACATTCACTGAGAATTTTCCGTGAGTTATATTTACCGATAAAAAATCCCGATGAAATTGTGCGTGTTTTTGACGTCAAAACAAAATTGACGGAAGTGGTCGTGATTAATTCATACGCAGACTGTTTCAAAGATAAAATCACAAAACGAGTGAGAGTTTGGAATGTATATCTTAAAGAAATCCCGGTTACGTCCATGTATGTTTCAATGACCGTGCTCTTTTATTAGTGATAAAAACAACTTCGGGGTAATTGACATCGTACATTTTCAAAGGACAAAATGTGAAAGATCGCTAAACAGCCCTAACAATACTCAAATTGACATCGCTCAATATCGGCCATCATTATTATTTCTTAATAATTAACAAGATTATACTAACGTAATACCACCCAAGAGTAAGTACATGTAGATTCAATCAAAATTGTTGAAACGTTTTCATGGGCAGCAAATCTATTCAACAAACCTATTTTCGATCACTCGCAACTCGGGCGCGATATGTCATTGTTTCACTATGACCACCAGAAAACATATATCCTCGTATCAGCATATACTCAAAATATACTTGTATGGCCAGTCCATGAAATACCACTGTTTCTTTTCATTTATTCATTTGATTTTATAAATTCGACTTTAGAAGTGTATTTACACCAAGCTATAGGTATGTACATTTAAGGACATACGTGATAGTTTATTTCCACTAGTTTCCCATTCCATCCCATTCTACTAAAGGAAAAGTTTGAAATAGATAATGATCGTAGGTCAATGAAAGTAATGGAATTATTTGTCATAAAAGGAAAAATATATTCTTGGTATTGAATTTCGAAAATTTAACAAGCAAAATCTTTAATAAAAATGGTTTATTATGTCTTTCCTTTTTTTTAATTTTGGCCTAGCTAAACTAGATCTAAAGCTTGGAGGGAAGATATACAAATAAAATGGTGAAAAACAACAACACAAGAATGCATTGATTTTGCTCTTAGACAAATATTTATTTAAAAAAAAATCTATTCATACTTAGGATACAAAACAAAGTAGTAGAATCTAATGACTACTATATCACTGGTCGAAGTATTTGGTAATTTAGATAATGCAGAGTGAAAAAAGACATAAATATAACTATATAAATCATCAAAACGAAATCACATTTACACTGAAAACATTTTGTCTTTCAGAAATTGATTATCTATATATATTGTGAGTAGATCTTTACTTTTACTGTTTTTGTTATAAATTGAACCATTCGAGATTCTAATAGATGAAGCTAAAATATTAAAATTCTAGGTTGTTTAATATTGGATCCATTTTGACAGCTTTCTCGCTGTAATCAACTTAATGCACATTATTCTTTTTGGAATATCAAGCCTTCAAACAGATATGAAAAGCACATGTCAACATACCAAAATTAGAAAACTGCGCCAAATATTCCAACACTGTTAGTCAAATGATAAGCGGTCTCATTCACTCGTCGGTCGCCGTAGATATTTTCCAATCGTGATGTACTAGATATGCTTTCTAGTTCAGTCAAAGAGAATATTGTTATTTGGAAAATGAAACCACGTGTATCCATTAAACTACCACAACATTAGATCAGCTGTTTCATGTGCATCATCCACGTGACAACACGCGAGGTCAAATCACGCGCACCTGTCCAGACGACAAATTCGCAGCGGCGGGAAATCACCGACCGTCTATTAGCCTATTTGAATAAAATTGCAGATTGTAACGAAATAAAATTAATTTTACTCATTGCTGACATTTCAGATGACATATCAAATAAGAGTTGAAGACTTACAATAGATTATCATACGTTAATCGAGAGTACAGCGTACATAAATAATTTGTAAATCTAATATTAATTTTGAATCTAATATCCATGGCAGAATGTTTGAAAACGAGCTAGACCTATAATATATTCCATTTTCTGAAGAGATTAGTAATGTGTATTTGATGATATATATATGCATACACAATTGGTTATCAATTATCTTCTACAATCACAGCATGTACCATGTACATTAGACTCATGGAAAATACTATTTCATCAAACCAATCACAGCGCCATTATCACAGTTTCAATGAAAGGAAAAACAAATCGAAATCGAACTTAACAGCACAGCGTATCCATTAGCGGTTAATCCAAATACAAAAAGGTATTGATGTCATCATTATAGAAGTAATGTTGATGTTTTCAGTAGTTGCATTATGTTTGTATCGCGTGTACCATCGACAGAAACGGGGGCCGAGCTACCACATGTGGAACCGACCTTGACACAATTTGTTTACAATATGGCGTCGACTCACGTTAGATGTCGTGGCCACACTTTTGAAATCTCCATTTGCGACAAAATGTGAAACAGTTAGGGCAAGTCACTCACGCGGTCAGGTAGTTTGAGCAATCACACATGACTTTTAGTCTTTTTATATGAAAAAAGTAGCAGTTATTTGTCTGAACGGGCGAGTATGTAGGACAACCGGTAAACAAGAAATCGCGGCACAGATATGAGGCGAACGTGCCCTGTCGATCACTTCGTGCTTGGCCATTAAATGTTTAGGTTTTGATCATGAACCTCCTGCCCATAAATATACACTATACCAACTTAATATTAACGATTATAGCTATCTTTCCATATCTTTGATTTGAATATTTTCTGTAAATCAGCATCATAAACAAAAAGATAATCTGCACTGTCGGTTGGTATGTAGCGCCGTGCTAAATCGCCATGACACACAGTCGATAAACATATGCAATACTTGAACAAAAAACTTCCGTGGCCGACTAAACGTTTGTACTCTTACGTCAATAACTGTACATTGGGGACTAGTGAATCTTTCTGACCAGTTTCTTTTTCAAATTGGCTGTCTGATATAATAATAGTTACGTGTGTGTGACACGAGTGCATAATAAAAAAATGCCTTCATTCGCATGAAGTTCAACATTGCAGAAAAAGATCGAGAAGCGCGGTAACCACATAACTAATCTCGCTATATTTCGCAATCCGTAGCACTGCATAACATATGAGTTACACGATATTAACGTTGAGATGATAAGGGTGATGATGGTTATAAATTCATTCAATGTACGTCATAAATGTAATGGAAATATACACTGTCGTTTTCTCATGTGTACCGACCATTCCGCCATTACCGATAGTCGATAAAAATATACAAAACGTGTAAATAAACTTGTTCGTAAAGGAGTGAACAGAATTGTATTTACGTAAATAAGTATATAGTTCAGGTCATATTTTTTCTTATGAACAAGAATTTTGTCTGAAAATATTTACGTGTAAGCGACATGGGTGCATAATCAAAATTCGCCGTCATTCGCTTGGTGTTCAAACATGGCAGAAAAAGGCCGAGAAGAGCGGTAGCCATTTTACTAATCTCGCCATATTTCGCAATCCGTAGCATTGTATAAAGTATGAGTTACACGATGTTAAAGCTAAGATGATTGGGGTGATGATGGTTATAGTTTTGACTTTGCGCACTCAGTATTAAGTATCAAACTTCACAGTTTAAAAAGGGCATTTTCTCGGGACCATATATGGTCCCCTGGCACTATGCGGGTGTGAAAAGTTAGGGACCATATATGGTCCCGTGGCACCAAGAAGGTTAGGGTCGTGTCCTTATTCTCATAACGCTGGGATTTGATGATGAGGGTTAGTTACCAAGGGTATAAATCTGGCAAAGTGCATGTCAAACAAAATGGAAAATCGCGTTTTTTAAAACAGTAGTCCTCGGAAAAAATCATCTTCCGCGTAAAAATATAATCAAAGATTTAAAAAAAAAAACACTCTGAAAAATATGATCGAAAACCGGACAACCGTCGCGGATTGTTCTGTTTTCGACCAGAGCTTTCAGCAGCATAGGTTTTCGGGTATCATACGTTTTCTATCACGAATACTTGCACTATAACGTGGGGTGTGGCGTCACACAGAAATTGTAAATACTCTGAGTCAGATGATGGCTTGTTTTTAAGATAAATTTGTCTTTTAGCCTGTGAATGAGTGAATGAGATGATTTACAGTTGTTCATGTGATTAGCGAGAAAACTATGGATGTTTCTTCAGCGTCCAAAAACCCATAACATGGGGATATAATTCAGTGTTGGCTGAAAAGCGCGTTTTTGCGTCTTGGACGCACAAAAATAAGTTTGAACGCACCTGCGTAACGTGTGGGTCTCGTGGACGCAGTGACTGGGGCTATATTAATTTCATATTGAATTGACACTGTTATCGTAAATCAAAGACGTACGTCTTTGCGTAAAGGTATTTGTTGCCAAACAAGACAGCGAAGCATGTTGATTAACACTTCCGTTTGCTAAACCAAACCAGTTTCATTATTCTCTCCCTTTTTATGACAAATACCCAAACCGGTTTCTTGACCCATATCTATTGTCGGTTTTGCATGTATTAATTTTCGGTATGGTCCGTAGCTTTGCTTCAGCCAATCAGGTGCCACATATTAAGCAAGTCGGATATAGTCGTAATTAATTTAGCTTGCTGATTGGTCGAAAATATCCTGACCTTGTGTCAAACTAAAAATAGCCAGGGTATACTTCAGAACGTGGTAACAGTGACCCGCGAAATCGAGCGACCGTGTAGGATGATACGCTATGTTATCGCGGTAGTTAATTTATAATGGATCGTACAAACTTATTAAATATGTGATTCACAAAATGTGTGTTGTTCATTGGATTGATTGATGCTGATTTTCTTTACCGAGTTCGGTAAACAAAGTACCTGTCATTGGTGAATCTTACCGCAGTAAGTAAGGCTGTGTGGATTATATGGTATATCACTTCCTGTTTTGAATTTTGCATACGACCGAGGTTTGGTCAAGGGACTTCGTTTGAACAAATGGGTTCTTTTTCTAATCAATTTTGAATGGAGGAAGGGGTAATTCCACTTCAAAAACATCCCAGGAACTGTCATAAAAAAGTTAACGTATGTACAAGTAGCCGTGACATACCGCAACGAGTCCTGTATTCGATCATGCGATGAAATATATCGTGCTTAGATTTGCATAAGTAAACAGTCGACAGGTTGTGTGGATTACGAGATTTATCAATACCGCGATACTGTATATGATAAAGAATGAATGCGAACACTTGAATGTACAATGATGTAAGCATTGTTTTTATTTAGCGGACTCAGAATATTTAGTTATTCTACAACAGACTTATCAAGCTGATAATAATTCAATATCTTGTGAGTCATATTAAGAATTGCAAAACACATTTTGCCAGGACCGTTTTTGGTGTAACTGACATGTTTAAACATTTATAGCACCTGAAACATGTTGACTAGATTTATCAAGGAAATGCTGGATCCTGAACATGCTCTTACTAAAAAAACGTTTGATATGCCAATTATATTTTATGACTCATTGATCATTGTCATAGTTACAACATGAACTCAATACTCAGTACAGTAGCATCAGAACAGCCATTGAACTTAACTGAATCCAAAACTTCAAATCATTGGTAGATCTCGGTAAAAACATTCACAAATGTCTGTCACAATGACCCCTCACCAATGGCTGACCCGTGTACTGCCTTTTCATATACAAAGTTAGATATTAACATGGATAATTTTGTGTTATAATATTCATTAATATCAAATGTCCCTTTTAAGAAATTGCTTGTCCTTAATGTAAACCCCTTGGTTATGAGAGCAGGATGTGCTCTGATGTGAACCTTTCTCTCACTTTGCCTGTTTGTTGATATTTTGCAGTTGCGAAAAGATTTCTTATTTTTCACAACCACTGTGTTCTGTTGTTAATGTTATGTTATAATGCTATAAATTAGACCCCTCCATTTTTGTTTGGGACCCCTAATTTTATGATGAAGGGGTCCAAGTGACCCCAAGAAAATTTAAGCCAAAGTAGACACTGATATATGTTATATTAATGTCTTATGTTTGCAATGGAGTTTTGGTTTTTTTTCAACAAAAGGTAAGTAAGTACAGAGACCATATGGTCTCTGGTAAGTACAAGGTAAATTTTTTCAATATGCTTCAACATGGGGAAAGGGTCAGACATTGCACGCTTGTGACAGTTGTCCTTGTGTCTGGGGGATGGGGGGTTGAAGTTTATGGCAGTATTGCTCCCAGACTTGGCAGGTATCCAGGTGCGCGGAAGCTACGCCCAATTTTTTAAAAGTACTGATTTAACTTCGAAATTTTACTGCATCTGCCATCTTGTTTTTTTTACTTATTGACTTTTGCCATTGACTTATTACATTTCTTGGTGTGAATAATGTCCAAACTGCACGAAATTGCTTAAAATGCAATCAAATGTTTAAAAAATTTCTGGGGGGCATGCCCCCAGACCCCCCTAGACTTTTCATCTTTTTTCAGGAAAACCTGCTCACATCCCTGAATGTGGCATTCAATTCCAATCATGTGTTGCCGCCTGAACCACATGAAAAGTGAGATATGGATCACAATGAATAATGACAGCTAATCAATCTTTAACAAATTCACACTGAAACATTGAAAGGATAAAGACAAGTTAGTTGTTTTCTGTTTCAGCATGTTCAGGGTTGTGGGGAGGTTCACAGACATCCTCAGGGAGGATACCAAGTATTGAGTGAGTATTTTTGTTTGTGATAAATACAAACTACATGTATTCATCATGGTATATTTCATTGCAATGTGAAACATCACACTCACAATAGTCCAGCTCTGTGATGGCAGCCTGTAAATAATTGAACATGGACCAGGCAATCTAGTGATTGTTATTATCAGCAAAGATCCATGCCCTCAGAGTATGATGACAACCTAGTCTGACCACCCATTTTTCTGTGATGTGAATGCTACTTATGTTTGTAGAATGTCCGGATGAATAAAAGAGACAGTCATCTGTGGAGCATCAATGCAAAGAAAGACCATAGAAGAGCAACAGTGAGTGGCATATATTTTGAAATTATTCTGTTTGGTTCATATGGTTATTTTGCAAATATGTCTTCAGTTTGTTCCTTATCGCTGTGGGCACGGATGTCCTATTATCTAAGGCACTACAATTTTCTGTGCAGAGTTGCATCTCTTGGGCTTAACAGAAACCTATAGTCATGGGTTCAAATACTGGTTCTCCCCGATTATGTCGCTAGGTTTGTCAGCATTATACACATGCTCGTGGGATTCATCAAAGACCTGCATCACTTAGGGCTTTCTTCCCACATCAAGCTAACATGCGGTGATATATCTGGAATACTGTTCAAAGCAGTGTTAAAGCCAACTCATTTATTTAACACTGCATCCAGCAATAGTTTGGCTATATGACAAGGATTGTAAATATATATTTTTCCATGTTGATGAGTTGAAACAATCACTAAATGACATCTCTTAAAAAGATTCCCAGCATTCCAAGCCTAATTAATAGATAAGGTAGTGATTGAGCAGGCTCACTGATCGCATGTAATCATACCACAGTGATGTGGGATATTGTCCATAATAGTTATCATCGGTTTGTCTAGACCGAGTTCATAACATAAGTCACCGGTTTGTCTGGTTGAGAATTGAGATGTGATTATCTTAAATGTTTAGCATATAACAAGACTCACATATGACAACTTAAGTGATTTTGCTGCCTTCTATCTGTAAGTACATGTGGCAACAATTCTTTTTGATTGCTAAAATCTTTTTACATAATGCTGCAGAAACTGAAGTCCTGCTTGAGATCCCTAGATGAGTATTCCAGGTTGACAGTCTGGAAGGACGAGACAAGGGAGTCCTAAACAGAGGCTGCACCCCTTCAGATATCAGAGGTGATTTGCAGACAGCGATGACGAGGGTCCTGTTATTTCAATGGAGGCCGACCGAGAAGTTGTATGCCAAATGGTACTGGGACACACAAAGGCTGGTCTGGCTAATGTGAGAAGACCAACCAATGCCAAGCTGGAGTGGAATTCTTCCAGGACATTCAGGAAATTCTTGTCTTGAGCCATATGGTAAACACTTGAAAGGAATGATAAATGGGACTTATTGTCTTTAAATGTGGACCCAAACACCAAATGGAAAGTTCACAATTCTACTAACACAATGCAGCAGAGATAGAGTCTTACTGGTATCCCCTCATCCTGGTTCCTGTTCATCCATGGCAATATAGAAAGAAAAGGAGGATTGAGGGAAAGTAAGTTCTCTGAACTGGTGAACATAATCCGTAGGTACTGTCAAGCGAACAGTTATCACACTCTGTTATGAGTATTGAAGAATAGGATGAAATTGCATACTGCATCAGGGACCATCATTTTAACACTGTTCAATGTGCGATATACTGTAGGCATATGAATAAAAGAAATTGATAATTTGATTGTTGCTTATGTTTCATTTGCCAGCTGTGTAAATGGGGATGTTTCATGATTTTGCCTCAGTTTAATAGCCACACTTATCTTATGAAATCATGCATTGCTTGGGCATCTCAAGATAAATAACACATGTTTCCTTTGCTCTGAAAACGTCTGATGACACATTGATCTGTTATGTCAAAGGTCAAAGTCACAACCAGACAAAAAGTTTGTTTGTGGTCTAACTCTTCCTTTGGACAGGGGTCGAAGTTGGAAAAAGGTCGTGTGTGATCTATATATACTACATTTTCCCCTAAATTGCCTTTTCTGCAGAAGTCTTAGTAACTCTTATACATATACTGGTTACATTACTTCCATATTTTGGTCAATGATATGTTGAATTCTACCAAAGGACTGCATATTTGGTTTATGTGCTGGATAGCTCTTTGAAATGTTTTTGAAATGTTTATCACTGATATTGAAGGTCAAATTCACAGTCAAAAGTGATAACTCTTGGAGGGTTGAAGTGTAAGCTCAAGGCAATAGTGAAGGGGTCATTCATAAAGTATTTCTGCAATTATAACTAAAATGCCTATTTCTGGAGATATTTGTGAAGTATTAAGCACATAGTTGTTATATTATTTGAATACACATATATGTGCAGATGTTACAACTCCAGTGTCAAATTAACTCTCAATCCCTTTTAATAAAAGAATTCACAGTAACTGAGGAAGAGCTTACTGTAGTACCTTAAAACTAGGGTCAGGCAAATTTCAATGAAGTTAGTATTTTGGATATAACATTAATGTTAAATAATAATAAGCAGCCAATGTGTTATGATCAGGGTCCATTGGTATCCCTTCAGCAAGTGCGAATCAGGTCCTAACACATTTGTTTTGTCATGTATCACGCGCTATACAGTCGAACCTCGCTTATCCGGACAATTGCTTTTTCTAAAATGTTGTCCGGATAAACGAGTTTCTGGATATCTGAATACCTTGTAAACTGACCAGAAGTCCTTCCCCTACCTCAATTCTACCGAGGCATATGTGAAATGAATGGCAAAAATATGATTTATGAAGGATCGACCAATTACTAATAAAATACATTGTGCTGTACAGACCTACGCAGCATGCTGTGACAGCGCACTGCATTATTGAAACGGCTAAAGAAATGCATATGTAGCCTAATTAGACTATGCACTTGTTTTGTGTACAGATACGACGGCGAGGTTGGGGCAACCTGACACACATGAGCATTAATAGTCACGTTTACCTGTGCTAGTTGACTGCCAAGGTTGAAGTCATTCATTTTTGGAAAATGTTGTCGAGGCTTCTGTAAACGGCTAAAGAAATGCAAATGTAGCCTAGTTTAGATTATGCACTTGCTTTGTGTACAGATGTGACGGCGGGGTCAGGGCAACCTGACACACATGAGCATTAATAGCCATGTTTACCTCTACTAGTTGACTGCCAAAAATGCTGTCGAGGCATCTGTACATCTTTGGCGAATTGCATTATTATAAAGTACATCAAGGTGAGACATCATATGCATTCATATATATTTGTTGAGCACGAAACCTTGAAGTGTAGCCAGGACATTTCCTCGAAACTATGGGCGGCCATGTAGCTTCAATATCTTATAAATTATATCACTGAACATAGGTCAAGGTGTATTCAGTAAACAAAGATCTGAAGGGCTGTATTTCCTTCATCGAACACACTATGCGTTCATCACAGTTTGTGACGGATTACGGATACGAACGAACTAGCACTTGTTTGGCATGTAGGTTTTGTTAAGATTTGTTATCTTGTTCTCTCTCTACCCTCTACTTCCTTAATCACAATTTAAATCCTAAATAGGCTTTCGGGCCTAACACTGTGGCAATTTTAGACCCTCTGTTTCTGTATTTACTTGAGCTCATTTCCCCTAATGTTTACACATCTCATAAGACTAAGTCATCAATGATGTCAAAGCTGTCTGACATGTTTCTTATGAACAGTTTATGAAGTTAAACAATGTCCAAGTGACTTAAGCACAAATATACGCGATATCCATTTGATCGACAGTTGTATGTGATTTTTGGGGAGATCATATTAGATTACTGATGAGATGGTGATAAGGCTCAGGTTATGAAACAATCTGAACTCACAGTCTTGAAATACTACACAATACACGGCCTGGGACCCCAGCTTCAATGGCTACAGTGTGCAAAGATTGTTTGTGAATGAGATAAGCTATATTGTTAGATTTAGTGCTCAGGATATTAGTTCTTGAAATGCATGACGTAGCAGTCCCCTCATGCACTCAATATATGCTATTTCAGTATCCAAGTATCTTCAGGCGACATTTCCCAGACAGTTGAAAATATTCATCCTTATTCCAACACAATATTTACAAGCAAATGAGGAAAAGAGACAAACGATTTCTGTGATGAGTGAAGCACCGTGTGTGTGCGTGTGCGTGCGTGCGTGTGTGTGTGTGTGTGTATATATATACTTATTGCCACAATAAGTATGGCATCCCTTTGTCTCCTTGGACAATATTTGGAACAAATAAAAAAAACCACACACATCATACCCTATTACATCTCTCTTATTCCTGTGTGTAGTATATTAGATACACTGCAAAAAAAGAGCGGATTAACAGTGACAGTGACAAGTGACAAGTGACAAATTGTTTATTTTTGTCTCATCGGAGATACAGGTTATAGGCATATACATTATTATAAAGGTACACTATAAAGTATCTCTGCCACCCACGATGTGGGTTATAAGAAACCATACATAATGCATAGTAAAACAAATTGAGTTAAAACATATAAAAAGCAGTATAAATATATATGGTGTTATTGATAGTGATATTTTCTTTGATCAGCCGTTTTGTAGCACATACTACCTAGTGTTGAAATAATATTATAATCATTTAGAATATATACAAGCTCAATATTATCATTTAAGTTGCCATTTCTGGGGTTAAATACTTGTTGAAGGTGGGTAACACGAATATCATCATAAAGTGAGCAGTGGAGAGGAAAGTGAGTTTCATCTTCTACACATCCAGGGCATTATTTACAAAAACGTTGGTTAACTGGCACAGGAGGATTAGAATAACGTCCCAATTCAATCTCGAGCTTCATTGAACCGCATCTTAAAGATGATAAAACCGACCTTTTATAACGGGGAAGGAGGACATAAGGCTCTGTATAAATAGCTGTTTTAAATGTTCTATAGGTTCTCATTTTCAGTCGGGGGTGATTGCATTGCATTCTTTATTATAATCACTTGGTTTGAGCTCAGATTGGTTTGTACGGGATGCCGCGAAGTCATTTGTAACATGCTCTCGTGCGCATAGCAGATTAGCCAACTGAGTGGATTGCACAGAGGATGAAAGCTATATCACTATTACTTAAAAGTGTTAAATTTGGTCTGACGGTTTAATTGAACGGTATACATTGTTATAATGTAAAATCTCCGCGGAAAATCGCGTTTTTTGAAACAGTAGTCCGCGGAAAAATCATCCTACGCGTAAAAATCTAATCAAAGATTTAAAAGTACTCCGAAAAATCGTCGCGGATTGTCCTGTTTTTTATAAGAGTTTTCAGCACCAAACATACCTTTATTATTATTCATAACACAATACCATTATTGTCTGATCTTAAGTTTCCTGACATCATACGTTTTCTATCACGAATACTTGCACTATAACGAGGGGTGTGGCATCACACAGAAATTGTAAATACTCCGATCATGACTTGTTTTTATGATAACGTTGTCTTTTATAAATGAATGAGATGTTTTACAGTTGTTCATGTGAAAAAACTATGAATATTTATTCAGCGTCCGAAAACTCATAACACGGGGATATATGTTGTATTAATGTCTTATGTTTTACAAAAGGTAAGTAAGTACAAGGTAAGCTTTTCTCAATATGCTTTAACATGGGAAAGGGTCAGACATTGCACGTTTGTAGCAGTATTGCTCGCAGACCTGGCAGGTGCGCTGAAGCTATTCCCACATTTGTGATTTAATTTCGAAATTTTACTGCATCCGCCATCTTTGTTTATTTGACTTTACTTTTGCTACTGACTTATGACATTTGTTGGTATGAATATTGTCCAAACGGCACGAAATTGCTAAAAATGCAATGTTTAAAATATTTCTGGGGGCTCAGTCAACAAACTACGACTGTAAATGTATTGTACAACCGATGCAAGAAAATAACAAAAGATGTTACAAACCCAAATTATGAACATGTGGAATATGAATACTAATACCTGTACTTTTAAGAACAAGATATTTACACATTGACGCATTCAGATTTAATTGATATTTTGCTTTACCTATATAAATGCGAATTGAATTTATTGTGTTTCTTCATCTACAATTCCACAAGGCACAACACTTGCTTACATTTAAAACAAATAATACTCTGGTTATTGCGCAAAGAAGAATCCAGTACCAATGAAAGTACCATAGCAATCATATAACATATCGCAACTCATGGTTGTTAACAATCAGGCCGTCAACATAATGACGGTATTCGTGGGCACATCGTAGTATTTGAAGTTTAAAAAATGATAACTTCATATTTATACTCATACAAAATGAACTCTTGTACGGTAATTCAGTTCATGCTTTCATTGGCAGCTTCAAGATATATATTGTGTATGATTAAAATAGATGAGAGAACAACAGTATCGCTAAATGATCCCCCGTGCCGTACCATTTCTAGGAAACGAGTGAACAGTTTGATATCAACTGTTTGGTTTCGCAAGGTTCGTAAAACATGGTATTACACATAGGCTCGTTTCGTATTTTATTAATCGCCTCTTTTATGCAAACCCAATTATCGAAAACGAACGGAGAATTCCATGCCTGTTTTTCTGCGTGAGGGAAGATAATTTATATAATGTTTTCTAAATTAGACATTAAATTATCGTTCCAACAGAATTCAGAAATTACATATGTTAGCAGTTTAGGAAGTTATACACAGCATCTTGAAAATGAACAAAAAGAAGAAGAATAGTTTATTTATGTGTCACAATTTAAGCAACCATCCACGTAAGCACTAAGTAAACAATGCCATTTAACCCTCAATTACTATTAGTTAATTAGTATAGTTAACCTGCAGTATACTGTATGGCCTGTCCTCATTTCGCCTACACCCTTATCAAAACAAATTTACAGCTGACTGCACAAAAGTCAAGTGCTGTGTTACCTCTAAATTATGAACTGACCCAAAAGAAGGTTTAACAGACAAGACAATCTTAAAGCTTCATACATTGTTTAATAGCTGATATTTACATTATGCAGTAATAATAATAATGACACATGCTTACTGTAGCTTTAGTACATATCCAACGGCATCAAGAAATTGCATTACAGTTTTTCTTCCACTAAGAAGCTGTGTCTGTAGTCTTTCAATTCTTTCGTCCCTTTGTCTGCCAACACGAGCTCGGGGTCTGCATGATCCTCCAAGATCTATTTGTTTCCTGGAGCGTCTGTCTGCCTTTTCAATCTTCTTGATCTCCTTCAAGTACTGATAGATGTTAGGGTGAGATCGGGGCATTCTCTTTTTCAGTCCACAGTGGAACCCTTCCAGATGGTCTTTGGATCGGGTACCGGTGTTGTGGTGCTGGTTCCAAATATGGCAGGGGAATCTAGCGTCGTCATCCACCCATGTGCTGGTGACATAGTCGTTAAAATCACCAATCTGTTGCCGTACTAGAATAAAATGATGATACGTTTCCACCATTTTAATATATTTTAATCATAGTGGTTAAATAAAACACTATTATGCAAGCTGATACGTTCCCATTAGGCTATCAATTTAATCACTTCCCTTCACCAGGTTGCCAGTTCTTTTGACAATTGAGTGGGAGTGTGGGAGACCAGGGCTTCGGATAAATGACTGAGCCATTGAGCGTTCACTCACATGTTATAATTCACATTGGGTATCGATAGTTTGTTGCAGTATTCAGTGTATTATTACTCTCGTCCCGTCTATAGGATAGTTATTAAATTTTTGCTGTGTTCATTGAAATTCATGCATTCCGATTAGCTAAATTGTTCACATGTTACTGCATTCCTTTCCCAATGAATGTAAAAACTTAAGCCATGCCCACAGAGGCGGACTACTTTTATTACTGCGGAATGTCGGGGAATCCGTATATTACCGTCGAGGGAATTCCCTTTCTGCTTACGTGTATCATGAACAGGACATTTAGCGACTTTCATGCATATTCATTGTCCAAACAAACCTTTGAAACCGAAGGCCGAGAAGGAATGAAACAGCAAACGTGCAGGCTCGCTCGCCTGTTTTTTTCAGGGAACATATCTATTTCTTTTGAGTCATTGAGTGATTATTGTTTAACGCCGCATCAACAATCGTCTAGCTATTTGCGTGGATTGTTCCCAAGAATTATGGCTCACATTTTACCGTACCGTTATTTTGCAGATCGTTCTCTTCATTGGTGAAATAGCACACACCTAAATCCTATTCACTTCCCCCAACATTGTTAATATGTATGCAAACTGATCAACATGTCTTTATGATATTTGATAAGAACGTGATTTTATGGAATGTTTCAAGGCGTTAAACAACAATTACTCAATCACTCAAAAGATATAGATATGTTTCATTTTGTAACACCCTAAACAATACAAATATAAACCATGTCATAATTATTTATAAGCACCGCGCCAGGAAAAGTACCAGACGCCTCAATCGCTTACCCGTCAATATCATATTGCAAGGAGAGAAAGGACTCCCGCTAACAGTGAGGAGTACTAATTAAACATTCCAGTAATGTTACACGCCACTATATCAGTTTTATTTGTAACTTGCTAATAATTTTGATCGGCTTTTTGCACATACAAAACAATTATAGAATAATACATGGCAATATCCCCCCTTACCAACATTTACAAAGCAACACAGTGCTCAACTTAAAACTCTTCATTATGCACATATACAATAATTATACACGAATACATAACAATTATCTCCCTTTACTGATATATACAAAAGAAAAACAATTTTGGATACATCATATATACAAAATTGTATATTTTTGTATATGTCATATATACAAACTTGTATATTTTTGTATATCTCATCATTCCAAACTTGTATATGCTTTGGATATATTATCTTTCCAAAGCATATACAAGCTTGTATATAAGGATTTTTTTGCAGTGAATGCCCCAGAACACTATTCCCAGATTTATTCGATCAATGAGAAGACGTTGCATGGCCTGTGTTGCTGCCAATGGCGGACATACCCGATATTGACTTTTCATTTTAACCCTATGTGTCTTCCTTACACTGATGACGTAAATGTAATTACTGTGTGGTATTACTGTTTCCTTTGTCGTCTTTCTTCATAATCCGTCTACGTCTGTTCTAATTAAAATCGGTCATTGCTCAAGTTGTTTTTGTAATATTTCAAGATTTATTGCTGGTGCGTTTTCAATGCTGTTCAGTATATATATATCAAATATACATTAACGCATGTTACCGTTCCAGAGTCATACTCTCATATAACCTTATATTGTTCATAGTATCAAAGTTTAATCAACAATATCAAGAGCAGCAATTTCAACTACTGAAACACCCAAACACAAGGCTGTTAGCAAGCGCTAGTGCAGACGTGATGCATCGTAAAAACTGTGTCGTGATGTCTTCAGAAATACAATTTCTTGCAATATTTATACTACGAGATAGTAAAGATAACGATTACGCACCGGTGGAGCGTAGACAATATCGCTAATACAGATATAAAGTATTTGAATGTTAATACTAAAGACAAACACTCATTATTTTTGCAGTGACGATATAACACTTATACACGTTTATTTGGTAACTTTCATCAGTTTTGCTCTTCATTTTAATAACTTTGTTTTCAGATATACATGTTATACCCGACTAGCCTGTCATACATAATTATGGGGCAGTTTTCAATCTTGTACTGACTTACTCTGGTGTTCCTGAGCGAAGCTCATTGGCTTGGGTGTTATACCTCGTTTTTCTGGTAATCCTATTTTTACTTTATTTATTTCTATCTAATGACACCCTGCTCTCTGGATCACGGCTCTGTGACTATCCATAACAATTAAGATGAATATTCAGTTCAAGTAAATGAATGAGTTTGTTTTGACACCACAGTCAGTCAAAGACCAATGCTGTGAGGTTTGATTACACACTTCTACCAGGTCGAACATCGTGGACCCTCATTTTCTACCTAAAAAGAATCATAGTTCATATGCTAATCCATTTGCCGTCCCGCTCAAGATGACATTACTTGTTGTTAAATCCATCATCTATCCCCACGCTCCCCCCCCCCCACACACCCCCCCCCCACACACCCCCCCCCCCCCCCCCCACACACACACACCCCCCCCCCCCCCCCCCAAACACATACACGCACGCACGCACGGACCTAAATAACCTGGACAGGATATACTGCTGATAGCCTCTGGTCAACTCCGCCGCTCTACCGCACGCAGAATGTTCGTCCAACTCTGCAGGGGGCATTCTCAGTGGCTTCAAACGCGCTGAAATGTTTTCGCCTTGCATCCAAGATGGTGTACAAGTGAAATCGTATGACATTTGGCTATTTTAGGTCACTATCTCTTTTTGGATTACCCAATAAAGTCAATTCATAGTTACACGGTAGTGAAGGAGCTTACAACTTTATAACACTTATTCATCTCATTCCAATAGAGCTACTCGTGCTTACATAAAGTTGTAGTTATTATTTCACCGTTTTATTTATTTAAAAATATATTACGTGTTCATCAATAACAATTGTGATGAACATTCAATTTCCGATCCAAGTTAATGAATAAGTGTGTTTTGCATTCTCTACCTTAAGAATATCATAGTCAACATGCTTATCCATCTCGAACTACCATCCCGCTCAAGAGGAATGTTTTATGTGTTTTATGTAATGTACAACACACACAAACACACACACACACACACACACACACACACACACACACACACACACATTAATTGTTTTATTAAATGTATCCTCGAGAGTCATGTGTTCTGTGTATCTCACAAAGTTTCAGCTTTCGCCTCTTCCTTTGTTGAATGAGGTTTCACATTTGTAAAATGAACTCTCTTATCTGCCTGTACCATCAACTTAACTGCCCTTACCTCGTGCAGTTTTCCCGTCTCATATTGCCAAACAGGTGACTCCGCCCTCCCTCAGTCCAGTTATACTGTGCCTAGCACAATATGTTGGGAATACGTAACGTTTCTGTGGCCAAACATTTTGTACCAATTTGGGAAACTTTCAAACCCTCCTGTTCATAAAATGGAATTATCTGGCATTGCCACGGACGGATTCTATTCAGGGAGTCATCATCAGGGTAAATATTTTTAAAGCGTGCACTTTTTCCTAATCTAACAACCTTAATAAGAAATAAACGAGTCGTGGTCGTTGTTTATCGTGCAATAAACAACTCCCACTCGCCGTTTGTTTCTTAATTACATGCCCATATACACTGTTATTATATTTCATGTTTATCAGTTAAAAAAAGCGATAAACTGCACGATTCCGACAACACCAGGAGCATGTTTCATTATTCACCATAAAAATGATGACACTGGGTGCTCGCAAAACGGCAAGCTCATGCCGATCCACTAGTGGCACCCGCCACAATCACATGCAAAGGCAAGCCAAATGTTCACCCGAAAAGGCACGGAAACACACGGTACAAGTCAAATTAGAGAATTGCATTAGACATCATTTTGGTCATTGATACGTGAAACCTGGAAATGCCGTCTTCACGTCCAACACAAAGACCAAGCCAGGACCCGAATCCTTCAACCCGCCCAAACAACCCCCTGAGCACGAAGCTTGCCGAAATCCAAATTTTTGTTAATTACATACATTTTCCCCTAACCTAAAGTAATCTATACCAGTTCTGAAGTAAATCGTATTTACCCGCATGAATCGTCTTATGTCATGTATTGCCCATAAACAGAATATGCACACTTTCTGACAGTAATGTGTGATAAGTCACGCATCAAACCTATACTCTCGATATCCATGTTTCATACTTAAAAAACTATTTGGCTAACAAGATACGTATATTAAAGTGCCATGCTTTCCTGATGTGCTATCATTCTAATTTGAAAGAATGACATAAATAGTTACTACTCATCCTTCAATATTTTTCAACAAACATATTGAATATATGCAAAAGCTATATTTACTTATCTTTATACTTAAAAGCATTAGGTTTGTCTGTCATACAGACCACGAAACAAATATGTTCAATACAGCCCAAAATTTGGCAATATGAAGAAAGTCTCTTTGCTCCTTTTTATTATATTTTATAACTATTGTTTAACAACTGGGTTTTTTCTGTAAAATATTTTCATTTCAGAGATAAGATGTTATTCTAGCATCAGGTCTGTGGTACGTGCGCTGTATCAGCGTTGACATTAAAACGATATTTACATATATAAATACATACAGAAGAAATGCTTAGCATTTATCTTTTAAGGAAGAATGTGGGACATGCTTAATACATATATATGTGGACATATATGTATGGACATTTGGATGAACATAGATATACCTCCTTATAAGATAGTGATCGTAGATGATTGTAGAACGTGCATGAAGAAAACGGAATCATTATGTGAGTAATCGGGTAAATACCACGTTTAGCAATATTCAGTCATTTTGCGATATTGGTTTCCAACACACAAGACGGACCATGGAATAATGACTTGAATTTGGACCTGGCTTTCTGGTGTGATGTAACACCCCATAATCTAATGTAGAAAAAGAGCTAAAAGCACGAATAAAGATCACGAGATGAAACTTATGTATACATCTTGATATATATTTGCGTAGTATTACTACGTTAATTCATCAGTATATATGTATTTTGCGCAAAAGGATATTGTAGGATCGACGCTGACATGCCCATACAACCTTTTCACCAGTGCTGTAATATTTAATTCATTTGTCTTTTGATACATATCGATAGAAACATCATGGAGAGTTTGTCTGAAGAACTTACATGCATGGGATCTTTTAGGTAGTTGTACTTCACGGTTAGACGAACGCTTAGTCTCTGAAAATATATTTTTTTGGTTAAAACGAGACACTATATTTAAATTTAAAAGGAGCCTAAGTGAGATGGAAATTTCAGCCTGAACCTGTGGAACATCTAGACTTGTTTCATTTGGGGGTATGGCATTGCAGTAAAGCCAGGGCGGAAGGGAAAATAATATGGTTCAGGGACTGTGAGACAAACTACTTCACGGTCTGTATCGCCGTCGTGATCCTTAGAGCTACGAAATTAGAGCAATATGAGACAGTGACTCGACACCTGTTGGCACCCATTAGGCACCAGTCACTACTCTCACTACTTCTCTCTCCAAACGAAGAAAAATACGAAAAATGTCGGAAGTGTATAATTTTAATCCTTCTAATTTACTATTTAGATACATGATTTAACTTTAAGGAATTGTATGTATCTCATGTTCAAAAATGTATTATCGGTAGCTGTGACGCTGGTACCGTTTTGTCGCCATTGTGTAGATTGTGTGGAGTTATTATGACTATCAAATACATGTCTTGAAATATGGACTTGTAAAAGAGTTCATCATTGAATCATATGCAGTCTAACCCATTTAATTGGCGTGTATGGATATATTATCCATTTACTTATACACACTTATTATGGACATATACAGAATTTCATTGTACCTTATTATTAAAAAGAATAAATGTGAAGATCCGGGATAGAAGAGGCCTTCAACAACCCATGCTTGTACGAAGGCGACTAACATAATCGGGTGGTCAGACTCGCTGACTTGGTTGATGCATGTCATCGTATCCCAATTGCGTAGATCGGTGCTCTTGATGTCAAAACTGGATTGTCCGGCCCAGACTGGATTATTTACAAACCACCGTTGAGTGCAGCGTTTAACAACAAACAATCAAACAAAAACTATTATTAAACACCTTCCAACAATGAGAAATTAAACATTTATTTTCTATATATTAGGTTTTATCTATAAAATAATTTGATTCATAATTTAATCATTGCGTTGCTTTCTTGTCTGTCATTCAAGGCACATGTTCAAACCCCTGATCTTTGAATATTTGATTTTTCACAAATGGTTACGTTAGTGAGTTGCCTCGATCTTTCGTTACCTACTAAACACGACCAGATTAAAATAATTTGTTTGTACAGTCATATTTCAGTTTATTTAATTCATAATACGAAATTAATAATTCATTTATCACAGTATAGATCATATTTGTTTATATCACTATCTGATGTTAAGGTTTTATTGCAGAAATTATAATGAATTCAAAATGTAGAAAGATACACAATTTGCCATCGTTTGAAATGCAACATTTCTCAACTTTTAAACGATACAAAGTACAATATAATGATTAGAAAGCCTGTAACGGACAGTGTTTAAGAAAGAAATACAAGTCGATTAGTCCGATTTTTCAGATATGCCCTTCAGTAGTATTATTGTATATCTCCAGATAGATGTTTACATTGTAGTTCTCATTATGTGTGGATAATTAAAAAAACAACATAGAAAATATATATGCTACCATGACGAAAGAATACAGAGTATACAATAGCTCGCAATTGTTCAAAAATAAATTTCAAATCACAATAACATATCTGATATAAACAGAGGTGGTAATGTTTTAATCTCTTCATTGTGCCCTTGTTCGTGAGCCCTTGTTCTATTCAGCAAACAGCCCAAACCCGAAACTCCACAATATATCCGATTACACTGACCCACACTGGCCCCAGCTGGATTCTCCCAAACGTCAGTCCTCCATGCGATACTGACGCCCTTGTACGTCTCCCAGACCATAGAAATTGCTGACAAGTGAGGATATCATATAGTAATCGTTGATGCCGCGCTACACTATAATAAACATTATAATCAAGCTGACTAGTATGTACATAACTACAGTAAACATAATACCTGATCATGTCCTGTGTAATATCAAATACTAATATGATATTGTGTGATGAATTTAACTGGTTCATTGGTGACATGTGATATTTATATTCCTTCAATTTCTTTCCTGGTTGGTCTATCCATGTCTACAAAATAAAAATGATAAAAAATTCTAACAATTCTTAATTTCAGGCTAGAGCTGGGGAAATCTAGACTTTCCCAATCATTGTAGCCTTGCGTTGGTCTCATTTTTTACTTTATTCTCTTGGGTCTACGTCACAGCTCATACCACACAATAACAAGACCAGTTATGAAAACAAATTGGTCTAACGCCGCTCTCAGAATATTCCAGTGACATATGAGGGCGGTCTGATGTATTTGAAATAAATGCAAATTGAATCTTGAATCTTTCCTTTATGTAATTGTGATTTATCACATCCTTTAACATAAAAGGCACGTTACTATTTTTATGTTAAGAAGGCTGACTCAACTTGCACCAATAACTTGCCATTCTTTAAGCAAACGCTTATACGGAGCGGTTCGCCTCCTACCATGAAGTTTGGCGGGGCCCGTCTAATACCTGCAGCTAATTTTTTAGAATTTTAGATGTACCCTTTCGACTATTTTGGTGTTATGAATGACCCATATTTCCGAATCAAAGAGAAAGATAGGGACAACAATTGTATCAAACGTTTCGATAAGGCAGTCCAGTGGTAAATGTAAATTGATGGAACGTTTTAATAGGCTCATTATAACATTCCTGCCAATTTCAGCAATATATTTAACATATGTATTCATTTTAGTATTTCGGTGTAAAGGGATACCTAAATTATTATAAATTAAATTTGTCTTTTCACCTCGAGCTGGTCTAACTAGTACTTGTTTGGCAGATAGGTTTCGTTAAGACTTTTAATCTATTTGTCTCTTGTTACCTTGGACTTTCTTAATGACAAGTCAATACGCTAGAATCCCATTGACTCTTAAATTGTCTATATGGTCTAGCAATTGTAGACCCTCTTCTTCAGTATTTACTGGGTTTTTTTCCGTAATGGTCACACATCTCATACGAATGAGTTAGGTATGGTAGTCAAAGCTATCTGACATGTTTTTTATTGACAGTTTATAAAGCTACATACCGTCCAAAATGTGTTTTTTTTCTATGATAACACACATGCTCTGTCCATTTTAAAGTATTCTTGTGGTATGAAGGTTGGTATGTGACCTGTCCCCTCCCTGTTCCGAAACATCTTTGTAAATAAATATATCTCATGATATATATTATAACAAGGATAAAATATACTCGATGTTATTAGTATGCTCAAAATACCATGCTAGGTTTTATTCCACTGATTCAAGTATGCACTAGCGCACACGCTACACAGAACGGCAGATAACCAACGAAGCATAGCAC